TATGATTTTTATTTTCTCAAAAATTTTGCCGCCTGCGGCGCTATTTTTACACGTTTTTACTTCTATTTGTAGAGCTATGTAGCCTTTTTTTCCAAAATTTTTCGCCTGCGGCGCTGTTCTCTGGTTAATTTTTTGGGTTTTCGGAAAAAATTTTCGGGGCCCCCCCCCCCCCGAAATTTTTTTCTGGCTACGCCCCTGGCCATGTGTAAAAATCACACCAGGCACCCAGCAAGTTTTATCCAGCCACGGCCTCAAATAAAAGTCGCCTTACGGAAACTTTTAAGGGTTTCGCTCAACCGCCTAAATCCTTCTAGTGGCAAAGACACACAGAAAGTCACGACATTTTAAAAATTATCACCTAGTTGTGAAGCGTTGACTTGGAAAATGTCATGTTTCAAAAATAGTGCTTATTAGCTTTGGATGTAAAGCAAGGAGTTTCCTCTGCGGTTGTGGTACATAGTTTTTTCAACCAATGAAATTCCGGCCTTCCCTATTTTGCTTCCGATAAATCAGCGTGGTGAATCCATCGTTTTTGACTTGCCCGTTACTTCAATGCCTGTCTGTAGCAAACCCTAGGTTTCCCATGGGTTCCTGGCATCCCAGCACCAATTTCCATTTGAATACTATGGCCCGCGGAGAGGCTGGGAAGTGGTGCCAAAAATGGTGTTTCTCAGCCGCGGGTAGTTGATCATTTTTATGGGAACCAAATATGGTGAGCTTCATGATTTTTTTCAAATCCGATGTTTCATAAAAAGACGTCAATATCGCGTAGGTTTTTTCTAGATTAATGGCTATCTACTATCAGCGCCCCTTATAAAAGTTTTTACACAAAAGTTAAAGTTCTTCCGAGTATCTAGTACCTGGAATTTCACAAGATATTTACACTTAATAGTCATTATAATAAATACAAAACATGATTTTATTTAGACAATAATTTCTCGCTGGCGAATACAAATAAGTGTTTCACTTATTTTCACTTCCGCTTTTCCCGGATTGCCTGTCTAATTTTTATTTGGTATATGATGATGGAATTATTTAATCTTATTTAATTTTTCTTATCGCTTTTATATGAAACGCGACGTCGAATTACGTGACTTCAGCAACGTTAAATTCGCATTATTTGGTTGAAAATCAGGGTTTCATTTGAAATGCAAAGCCTCGATAGACAGTCGTAGAATAATTCATAGCTGCACTGTGATTCGCCAGCAAGTCCAAACTCCCTGAACAAAGCCGGCGGTTCTTTAGGATTCCCGGGGGGGGGGAAAGTATTCCCGGGGGGGGAAACCAAATTTTTTCCTGGTTTTCCAGGCTGACCTAGTAATCAAATATAAAGTGTTTTCGAATTGTTTTTAGTAAGTTTTAACTATATTTAAAGTAGAAAAACCTTTCAAAAAAGTTAGAAAAATGTTTGAAAAAGTCGAAAATTTGGTGATTTTGGGTCTTTCCCCCGCCCGCGAATCCTAAAGGTTCTATAGGATTGTTCGACCCAATTTTTATTTTTTTAAATTTTTTTGGTTAAAATGTGTGTAGTTTTTATGCTCAGGAATAGTTAAAACAATTTAGAAACGCATCCGCAATTAATAAAAAAATCTAGGCTTGTGCCGAAAATTTGGTTTCCCCGGGAATACTTTCCCCCCCGCGAATCCTAAAGAACCAAGCCGGCCATTACCCAATTTTTCGAAAAATTCGGTTTCGATGATCGGTTGACATAACGGCGAAAAAGAGGCCATAATTATGAATAGCTCGAATGTACTTTAATCAGCTACGCAACAAAATGACCGGTACGCTCTTTGTGGTTCTCCGAAGAAACAAAATCGTCGTGTAACCGCAAGCTCAGAAAATGCAAAATCAAGCATTGCCGGCCCCTTTAAAGGGAGCAAAGCGCCGCATGTGAATTAACATAAAAACAACTCCCTCCCACACTCCATCTCACACTCACTCCTTCATTCATTCATTCTCTCTCTCTCTCTCTCTCTCTCTCTCTCTCTCTCTCTCTCTCTGCCTCTCTCTATCTATCTCCCTCTCGCTGTGTCTCTCCCTATTTCTATATATCTATCTCTCGCTCGCTCTCTCTCTCGCTCTCTCTCTCTCCTCTCTCTCTCTCTCTCTCGCCCTCTCTCACCCTTTTGGATAGCATCTTCAGTTGGATTTATCAACCGTAGATCAGGACTGATTTGAAAGGCTCTTTTTTAACCTATTTAGGAAATCCCTAGCCAAAGAATCCATAGCCGTGCCTTGCCGGTCCCTTTAAACCCCGTTCTCTTTGCTCTATGATATTACCGTAATCCTCAGCCATTGGATGGTCAGTTTTGAAGGGGGCGTCTGGCGAGTCTTGCTTGGAGGGAGACTTGGATATAAACAGTCAAGTTGCCATTCGATCCCTCTAAACAATTTGGGGGCATCGATTGGGGGGAAACCAGATCCAACTCTGCATCTACAGACAAAACGGTCTGCAAAACGGGGCCGGAAAACGGCCGGAAATCGTCCGGAAATTTCAAGTCAAGGGTTTGGAAGGCCATATGTATGGTTTTTTCGATATTTTTCCTCCACCTGGCCTGCACTGACCCTTAAAAACCATAATTGCTGTATTTTCGCTTAGAAAAACTATATTCCAAATTAACCCTAAATTATGTGTTCGTGAAAAGTCGTAAAAGGCGTTCTGCTATCGTGTTCTTTCAATTTTTCGAATTCTACCGCGGATAGACACTCGCTTAATGGGTCCTTTAAAAATCGAATACTGTATTATTTCCGGTAACAATCGTATTTCTGGTAAATTTCGGCTTCCGCGTCCCTTTAAAGACCAAAATACAGTTAGGATATTCCGTGCTTAATTTGTTTAAAAAATTTTGTTTCATATGGATCCTGGCTCCACGATCCCTTTAAAGTATTTAATAACGCAATCGCCTGCGTACTGAATGTTGCATTTCTTAAAAATTCGCTGTGCGACTGGACTTTCCCAAGATCCATTTACCTTGGAATGTTTCCCCCCGCTTATACCTTCACTGATTCTTGGATTTTAATGGAATTTTCACTTCGTAATACCTTTAAAATCCAAAATATGAGCGCAACACGACAATTAAAAATTTCAAAATTTCTGTTTTTAACATTTCGCAGTGAAAAGTATGTTTCGTTTTTCCCTAATAAAAATCTTGTAGGACCCTGCAGTAATTTCTTCCTTTAACAATGCAGTACCATATTTTTCTGTCAATTATTTTCTTAAAATTGCTAAATTGTAGTACTTTTGTAACAAGACCTGAATAGTCAATTCGTCGGGCTCTCTCCCTAAGTTTTTAGGAAAATTTCAGCGCTTTTCAGCGCTTGATCGGCCTATCTCAATTCCTCTTTAACCATTGTGCATTAGGGATCTCTAAATTAGGGTTTGATTTTAACAACTAAATACCGTCGACAATTGGTGCAAAAATAAGGCTATCATTTTTAGCCTTTTGGTGCGGATAAAAATTTTTATCTGCCGTACCTCGTAAGATGGATTAATGTGGTGAAAACATGCTGCGCCCAACACCTCGATGAAACACATTTTATTTATACGATTTTTTTCTGGATTTACAACCGCTCTTGCTCCTTGTCATTTTTTCGACTCAAAAAAAGGGTCATACCGTATCTTATCAGGCTCCAGGCAGCTTCTAATAAGGTCAGCCGGCATATTTGTTAACAAGCCGCGGTGACCTCTAGGGTCTAGACGATATTTCCTCGAAAAAGATCAGCCGTTTTGCTCGTTAGATGATATGCATATTCGGGTTAATTTAAGTGGCTACCAGGGTTGAAAAGCCGCTTCGCGACTTTTCAACCCTGGCCCCGTCTGATCCGAAGATATTCTGCACTTTGCATATTTCTTCACGAAAAATGAAAAACAGCCCCTTCTGTCCCCTAATATAGGCTTTCACCACTTCCGGCGCATGCAAATTGTTTCCTAACAAAGAGGGAGACCCGGATTTTCATAAAAACTTAATTTTAATGTCGAAAATAGCACTTTTTGTAAAATCTGTTATGTGTGCAGTCGTGTCAGGACCATTACGCATCTTTTGGCGTATCAAACATACCCGTAACTTCCTCCCCTATTGAGATACGACTGGAACATAATGACGGAAGTTGCATGCAAAGTGGCACACACACACACACAAACACTATTTTTTTATATATAGTAGGATATCTGCTTCGATTTCTTGCTTATACCTGAAAAATAGCGTATATGTATTATCACCGCGGTAGTAATTACAATTAGCGTCAGATCTTTATAGTTTTTATGGCTTGCTCACTTTGTATGGAAAGTTTACTCAGAATGCCTCATAATCAGGAACCTTGACTAGTAAGATTGCCGTAACATATGTTTCTCAAAACAAAAATACCAATTAAAAAAGTATGAGGTTTTGCCTTCGAACACACCCACGACTACCCTAATTCCATTGCTTGTTTTACCGGCTAAACATTTCTTTTTTCAACTTTTACGATATTGCTGTCGACCAAGAAACTTCTCCACAGCTTTTTTTTGCCAAAAAATGGTTTAAAATGGGCTAATTTAAGGTGCAAGCGGTCGGAATAAACAATGTCTCAAGGTTTTTTATGGAACAGCTTCCTAAGAGAGTGCGAATGCTCGTTGGAAATAGAGGCAATTGACTGGATTTATCGGATAATTTGGGCTTTATAGAATTTTTAAATTAAGTTTGCCGAAATTTCATAATGTCGAAATTACAAAAATGTCGAGATTTCAAGTTGTCGAAAATTTTTTTGCATAATATTTGGGGGATTTCCGGGAGGGTTGCTCATGAAAAAACCGGAAGCTATGAGGTTTCGGCACCATTAAACTCTTCAAAAATTTCGATACTATGAAATTCCGGCATCATGCAGTGGTCAGCTTAATATACATCTCATTTCCCTACCGTATTTTTCAATCCAATATCGTTCATGTCCTAATTTCGATTTTATAAAATGGCCTGGATACGAGAATCTAAAGCCCCCATTTTCCAGGGTACAACACAGCAAAGATGCGCGTGTGGGTGCAATTGGCACTCCTCGCCGTCGGCTCCAACGCCTGGAGCTTCTTCTCATCTGAAGTAAGAATTTTTGGTGTTTTAAGGGATCCGGAAGGCAAAATCTATAAGCCGCTAAATTGCAGAGATAACTTCAGGTGTTATGATGGTTTTTAGAGAAAATAATGAGTGGATGGAAGGGGAGTGCTCAAATTTTTAGATGGGAGAACAATTTAGAGAGAACACTTCGACCTAAGATTAAGTGTAGGCAAATATCCGGAATTTTAATTTTTGATGAAACATGTTTTGTAAGTTTTTCGATGAAAAACAAAGCTAGGCATTGTTTAAATAGTAAGCACTAGATTCGTTGAATTCCCTTTTTTCCCGCCGGAAAACCGAAAAACCTCCAGATTTTTTGTAACAGAAATTTGACTAGAAAATGCTGTGTTGACTTTGTCGCTCCGGTCCATTGCTGTTAATAACTATAGAAAACAAAAAATCCGGAATTTTAATTGTTGCAAAAACACACTTTTTTAGCCCGAAAGCCCTTATCTGCATCCAGCCAGCCCAGCTCTGAATGACCCGACCGCCTATAGGGCCAAGCGCCAAGCATACCAGGTAAGTCTGGTCGACGCATTAATGATAATTGTTGGAATCCACTGAAAATATCGAAAAAAAACCTACTAATAAATAAACGAGCAAATATGCCGCAGATTGTTAGCCTTCGGAAAGGCTTCAATATCGTAAATTCTTAAACAAAAAATTCCACTCTAGAAAATTTTGCCATCCGTGATAGCCGCTACTTCGGTTAAGATTCAAAAATACACAACAAACGTCGTAATTAGGTGTACTCCGGAGATGATGTGTCGGTGACGGTAGATAAGTCCGGTATGGCCGAGAAAGGCAACTGGGGACCGTGGACCGCTGAGAACCAATGCTCGCGCACATGTGGCGGTGGAGTTCAAGCCGAGAAGAGGACCTGCAGGTACTGTAGTAATATTTAAAGAAAATGGCTAATTTAATGCTCCTTGAAAATGCAAATTACATGCTAGCTTTAAAAAGTACCATTAAAAATATGATCCAACAAGGACTATGACTGTCAAAATATGCCACCTATCACGACTTTGATGAAACATTCCATTACTCCAGAAATGTTACTTTTTTAATTAGGCTGTAAGGCCGGAGGAATCGACGAAGAGGAGAAATTAGCACAGGAAATTTGACTTGCCTATTTTTGCTTTAATGAAGCATACAAAAGTTATGCATTTTTTAACTATTAATTTTGGGATAAAACTTACAATTTTAAAATTTTCCCGAATTTTTAAAGTTCAAAAGCGTATAATTTTTCTAGAATATTACAATAAAACATATTATTTTTTAAATTATTACCTATCAAGAAATTTTTGTTCATCTGGATGGTAGCGCATATAGTAGCGTGGTTCGTTCCTATTTCTATTAATGATTTGTTAAAACACACTTATTTTGCTAGTTTTTTGTATTTACAAGCGACCGCCACGTCGGCCACTAGAAGCATGGTAAATTTCTATTCAAAATCTTGACAAAAATTTGGTTGCAGTGGTCGGATCGGAGAACTTGTGTTAAAGCGCACGTTCAGGGAGGGGCCGTGTACTCGTCCCAACGTGTACACCCTATGGACGTAGGGACCGCGCGCACGGCCTGCCCGTGCTGTGACAGGCCATTCCCCTCCTTTGCGGCGTGGGGCGCCCCTCACCCCCTCGCCAGGTCGTAGCTGTGGCTGACTGGTATGCATCCGCGCCTCCCGAGCGGGGGGCCCGGGTTCGACCCCCGGCCGCGGCAAAAATCATTGCTTTTTTTCCAAAAAACGTCCCTGAACGTGCCCTTTAAGTGATTGTTGGCGTCACCGCTTTCTCAATTCCTTTTTTGGATCACATTTTTTCAGCGGCGACTGCACAGGCCCCTCCCTCCGCTACATTTCCTGCAACACCGACCCGTGCGGCGAGGACGCTACGGTACGTGCTTTTGCGCATAATCTTGAAAAGACGGAGTTCGAGGACTCACTGGCTGAAAAATGAACCGCTAGGCTATGCGATTCTTCGAAACATCATATTCCCTAAAAAAACAGCTGCTAGAATTTTAGACCAAACCCCTATAAACTATGGGGTTTAACGTTTAAAAAACTAATTACTGGCTTGGGTTTGCGCTCAAATAGGTATCGAAGTCGCTAGTAGCATAGTAATGCCAAAAAAATTAGCCCTGGACTAGATATTTTTTGAAACACATTTTTTTTTCGCGAACGATCGATTTCTAAAAATGTGGGAGTATAAAACGCAGTTGCTAATTAACGCATTTCTGGTTACCTTAAAGGGCCGGAGACAACGCTACGGATTTTCCATTTTTTTTTTGGCAGCTGGTCTGACACACAAGGCGCATCGCTAGGCCCCTGTACGCGTGACGTGTCGCGTTGCGGCAAAATTGGGAAGAAACTTTGCTTTTAATTTTCCTGAGTTACAAACTTTGTTAGCGGACGCGACGATTTCATTGTTACTGTTAGTGCGACGAGCGAATTGTTCCGAGCCCAAATTCGCTATTTTTGACCTTTTCTGAAACATAATTTTTTTCCGTTCTTGTCCACTTTTTAGAAGTTCAATTTTTTCAGGACTTCCGCGCCGAGCAGTGCGCCAAGTACAACGACGAGGCCCTCGACGGCAACTACTACAAATGGCTCCCGTACAAGGGAAAGGACAAGTGCGAGCTGTTGTGCAAGCCCGACTCCGGCAACTTCTACTACAAGTGGGCCGACAAGGCGAGTTTTCTCAACTTGAACGAAGGAGGCATTATTAAGTCACCGGAGCTAAAAAACTTAGAAAAAATTGAAACATAAAAATTTAAGTTTAATAAAAGCTTTGGACGAATTTCTTTGGTACTTTGGAGGGTAAAGCCATAATACATTTTTACGGATACATCAAGATGAAATTTGCCTAAACATATTAATTCGGAGTACATAATTAAATATTTTTTCGTTAATTGCTTACATATTCTATAGGATTTTTCATAATTTTTACATACCTATCGATCAACATTATTTAAGAAACCGAGCCAATTTAATTATTTAAACCTTTTTTGGCTTGGCCCTAATAAAAACTGACATTTTCCAAATTGACTGTAAATCGATTCAATACACATAAATATGCAACTTGACCCTAATATTTTGTGCACGGTTTTAAGGGTTCTAATGGTTTTTGTGACAGCTATCGAAATAAAATGAAGAATTAAATTGATAAAAAAATATAATCGATTAATTTTTACATTTAGGTGGTGGACGGAACGAAGTGCGACGCGAAGAGCGACGAGATTTGCGTGGACGGCGTTTGTTTGGCTCTTGGATGCGACGGAAAGCTCGGCTCTGGTACGTTTCAACAGCTTGTACCACAAGGAAAATCCGTTTCCTCTCAAAGCAATGCTCCGGTTTTCGCTCCTCGAGCAATCATATGACTCCATCTTTCTGAAAAGCTCTTCACCATCAAATATCACTTTTCCAAAAAAAATTAGGCCCAAACTTAATAGATTCCCTTACGAAAAAAGAAAAGATGAGGTAGAAGAGGGACATTATACCGGGTATTAGGAGGTGATGGTATTAAAGCTTTCAGCATAGCTGACATCACAAAATTTTTTGAAACACTTTAATCGACAAGAATTAAACTAAATAAAATTAATCCTTTTTGGTTCTTATTAATAAGCATCAGTTGGTGGCCTAATTTCATGCAAATAGCTCTGTTTGATTTTTAAAGAATATCAATGCTCCACGATAATTGTGAAAAAACTGACCAACAATACAGTAAAGATTTCGGGCCCTCCTTATGGATAGAAAATTATGAAACATGAGATTTTTGAGGACTAAAAAATAGGCACACCTTGGCATAGTCAAATCCGGAACGCGACACATGGAAATTGGCCAGAAGAGAAACAAGAGCGTGAAAGCGTTGAGTTGAAGCGCCATTCTTGGTTAGTAAAATTTCGTGAAACATGACATTTTGTGCAACGGAACATACCACAAAAATCCTTAATTTAATCCCCTTTGATTACTAAAAACAGGCTGAACGTGCTAACAGCTTCTGAATGCCATAGATAAATTATATAATGTATGCTTCAGTAAGAATTTATCCCCAGTATCAACTGCTTTCTTTACTGTATTTTTACATCCGACGCTGTCAACAGAAAATTACGAAACACGAAGTTTTGAAAAATCTTTTTAGAAAGTAGATGAGCCCAACCCAAATTTCGACTCGACCATCTCTTTTTTTTATCCTTCAGAAGTAACGAGAAATCTATTAAGAGTAGCCGTCATCACAATTTAGTAAAATTTGTTGAAACCTGAATTTTTTTAGTCGATAAGTTACCGTGAAACGCGTCTCCCTGTCACCGTTAATGCGATTTTATTGCCATTTCGAAAAAGCGGAAATACTTTCTCCATTTAACCGCTTCCTTGAGATGAAATAAAAAGTGTTTTGCCTCGCCAATTTAATAATTTGAATAAATTAGTAGGTTTGACCAAAACATGATCTCTGAAATTTTTTGAAACATTATAATTTCCAAATAAAAAAGCCTTATTTTTTAGCGAAAAAAGCGGACAAGTGCGGCGTGTGCGACGGTGACGGATCCACTTGCAAGACGCTGGAGGGAGTATTCGACGAGAGGAACCTCAGCCCCGGATATCATGACATCATCAAGCTGCCCGTCGGTGCCACCAATATTCGCATCGAGGAGATGAGGGACACCTCGAACAATCTCGGTAATTATTAAGGGCATGTAATTTATAAGTTTTTATTATTTATAAGATTTACGAAGACCATTCGATTAAGTATACCTTGATTTTGATTCATTCGTAAATTAAGCGCCTAGAAGCCAGCCGACTATGCGACTTTAGCAAAACATTTAAAAAATCAAAACCTGCCAAAATTATTTTGGAAAAATGTTTCAAGTTTGCGCAATGATAACTTTCGTATAATACCCCTAATTCGGCGTGTTTTCGTGAGTTGGTGCGGTGCGATTCCTCGTGCAGAGGTAGGCCCGGAGAGCGACGCTTAACTTAATCATGAATACAATATGTTAGCAACCTCAGCTGAGAATTACGATAGCTTAAAGGCTTTAACGAAGCTATGACATTTTACTAGAAACGGTTTTGCAATAAAAAAATTAGCTGAGTTTTGCAAAAAAAAATAGGTTTTGTATCTACATCGGGGCTAACCGGTTGATAGAAATGGTAATAGGTCCAAGGTTGAGCGCATCCGATCCTCGAAATGGGCTATAAAAGGTCAAGGTAGGTAGGCTGGGATCGACTGCGCTTTGCAAAATTTTGTTTTGTGTCAAACTGGGGCCGACCGGCGAAGAAAACTGCCAATGAGCAGCCTTGGAGCGAAATGGGAGTTTCTAAAAAGCCTTAAATCCACAAAATAGGCTTTGAAAAATTAATTAATATAGATATAAATATCAAAAAACAACTACGAAATTTAAAGGGGCTCAGAAATATTAATGACGATGTAACCAACAAATGTTACTTTTTATTATTTTTGTCAAAAGATGTTTTGCGCTGGAATAAGGGCAACGGTCCGACGGATGAGATAATAACCAGAACTTTTGACAACGAATCATTGTATTTCAGATAGCATTAATGATGAGTAGCGATGAACTAGGGATGTCGCTAACTGCGCTGGTTTTTTAAGCAATTCCTCTTAAACCAAGTCCTTTTCACGCGTAAACGAAAAGTAATACTAGGAATAGTATTAGCAAATTTAATAAAAAAAAACCGTTTTTTTGCAATAAAAATATGTTTTTTTTTTCCAAGAGAAGATAAAGGGTTTGAAAGCCTCATTAATAAATGCTTTATATGACGTCGTACCATTATTTCTTTTTTAGCCTTCAAGAACAATTCGGACCATTTCTTCCTGAACGGAAACGGTATGCTGTCGGTGGAGAAGGACGTCGAGGCCGCTGGTACTGTATTCGAGTACGACGACGCGAAGAAGGAGAAGCTCTTCGCCGCCGGGCCCCTCACTGAGGTAATTTTACCGTTATTATTCGCTAAAAAATCTCTTAAATAGTAAATCTCTTTCAAAATAGATGCTACATTTTGAAAGTTATCATTTAGCCGAACCTCGAAAACAAAAAAATGTTTCATAAATAATGCCAGTGATCAGTTTGTTTTCGTTGGCTAATAAATGGTATGAGAGAAAGGTCTTGCAACGGCCACTGAAAATCAATTGAATCCAGCTACATTAAAAATCTAAAAAATAACAAATGTATATCTCGGTAAAAATGCAATAATTTTTCAAATAATTTTTTGCATATTTTGGGAAAATGACTTAATGAATTAAAATCAGGAAATTAAGCCTTGAAAATAGGGCATGTTTCATGAAATGAGCAGCAGATAAAGAATTTTTGGGATGTAATAAATCTTCGCTAGCACGGTCCTTGTTAAAGGGATACCCAATGTTTTTGCGGCAAATATATAGTTATGTATTCCGGGGAGTACAAATGACGCGCGAATTTTGTGCGGGAATGGGTGCCCAGTGTCGCACAGAATTCGGACCCCTTTCCCTCTTGTGGCTTCCCCATCCCAAGCATTGGCTTGCCACTATGGCCTAATGGATAGCATCCAGGTCTTCAAAGCGAGGGTCCGGGGTTCGACCCCCGACCGCGTCATGGTTTTTGCTTTTTTGAGCCTCGGAAAGGTTGGGTATCCCTTTAAGCCTTCCAGGCGATAAAAAAGCGTGAATTTCCAAATTTTGACCCCGTTTTGGGATCCTCACGTAATTTTAATCATTCTAGTCGATTTAATTATACATATTCACCCGATAAACACCTAGATCTATGAATTTGGGGCCGTAGAGGGCGTTACGACATGTAATTTCCGAACGCTAAAAAAGTACAATCCCCCGAAAGATTTCGTTTTCAAGTCTTTGATTTCTTTCGTAGAAAAAAAAAAAAATCGATGTTTTGATACTTTTAGGCGATACCCGTTTAGTTTTTTCGCCAATCTGTTGGCCTCCCGGAAGCTTGAATTTTGACTTCATAGTCCCTTTAAAAATGTTTTTTTTTACAGGAAATCACGGTCTCGCTGCTGTTCCGCAAGGGAAACAAGGAATCGGCCATCAAGTACGAATTCTCCGTTCCGCTCGAAGAAGCCGACTATATGTGGAAAGTGCAGGACTGGACCCCGTGCTCGGTGACTTGCGGAGCTGGTGGGTTTTCAGAAAATTTAGTAAATGTCCGGTAATGGGGGAGGGTCAAAATAACGGGGCCTTGCATATGGTTTTTAATAAGGATTTGAAATTGGTTATAAATATTTTAGAGCTTAATAATAAGGAAAATGGGTGAAATATGGCCTTGCTTCTGTAAAAAACGTGCTAGTATAATCATCGTTGTTCTATCGAATGACATTTGCCGAAGATTCAAACATCAAGACATCTACAATATCGAAACTGCCACGATCCCCCGGTTAATTATCTTTCGACTGGACTTAGGTTAATTTTTGCAGATTAAACTTTTCACTCAAATTTTTGGTTTTTAGAATAATTTTTCGATATGTTTACGCGGCTCAAAAAGAAAGAAAATCTCTTTTACGTACGTTTCGCACTAGGTCTTTCAATAGTTTGCAATTGGTTGTCTCAAATTTTGAGCTTCGACACGGCTATGCGTGGACTATCTTGCAAAAAAGACCGTAAACCCATAATTTGGATGAAACATTTTTTGCATATCTGTTTAATTTTTCAGGAGTTCGAACCCGCGATCCCTACTGTATCGATGTGAAGAGCCAGGTGAGTCGCTTACGTGTAAAATATTAATTTAATTAATTAGAGATTTCTATTGTAAACATCGTAATCGTAAACAAATAGTAGTTTGCTATTAATCTAAAAAGTGAATTAATAAACCGGAAAAAATCTATCTGAAATTGTCTTTACTGGCGTCTGGAACTTGGAGTCATTAAGACACTTTCAGCACTTTTTGGGTCACTGGCTACTGAAACATAGTTTACCCCCTTCAATTATAAAACATTTTTCATTAAGGGATCGCGGTATTTATTACGCTTCTAAAACGCATGTTTACCCTGTTAATGACATATAATAATTTTTAGGGACGCGTCGCCGACGACCTCTGCGTCGAGAACAACGCCACCAAGCCCGAAACCGTGAAGGTGAGTTGTAGGACGATGTTTTGAACTTGGGGCTGTTTACTAGCCATCTGAAAGGTCTTTAGTAGAAGAAGTTTTTGGTCGCCCTAAAAAAACCATAAACCATCCCGGCTGCGCAAAATCGCAAAATACGGAAGATTAAATCGATTGGTATACATCATTATTTTTCTTTTCGTTCCAAAGCTGAAACACTATTTTTACACCCGAGGTTGCTCCAACTTAAAATAACTATGCTATGCGCTGTGATAAAATTTTTTCAAAACGTTCAACTAGGTTTTTCAATTTTAACAAACAAAATCTATAGAATCACGATGTTGCAAAATAAGTGCATTTCCAGAGTTGCTATTTGGTGTCTACAGTAGCCAAACGTTAAATGTATTAAAAAATATACCTGGCAACTCAATAGATGCAGTCCGCGAATTAATTTGCACCACCGTTCAGCCAGCTGATTTTGACGTGAAACGTTCATTCTAGCAATGCAAAACGGTCGACTGTGAGGCGGAATGGTTCACGGGAGACTGGGAGGACTGCTCGTCGACTTGCGGAGATTCTGGAGAGCAGTACCGCGTCGTGTATTGCCATAAGGTCGGTGCTTATTTTTATTTTATAACTTCTCTATTATCTTGCATTTAAATTATCGATTTACAGTATACAAATCGGGGTGGCAAAAGAAAATTCGTGTTTCAAAAATAATAGTTCATGAAATCGGCTATGATATTTCATTGTTTCGTCGTTTCCTCTCAATTATCTTTTATCATCTTATACCACAAGTTACAAAGTAATTTTAATTCTGATTTTATTAGATTTTACGAAATTAGATTTAATATCGAATTAATTAGGAAAACGGCTTGAAAATCCGAGGCCTCGAGATACCTTAAAAAAGTATTTTTCACGAAAATGGCTCGTGTTTAATTCTCTGCTGTGTTACGAAGAATAGTTAACTGCAGCAATATTACATACTTTTATACTTCCATACTGGGTGACTTGCGGGTGCTTTAATGTCATATTTCCTGTGAAATAAAAACTGTTGGTATCTGGAATTCTCTCCTCCTATCGAAACCTATCGAAAACCATTTAAAATTTCGTTTGAATTTGATACCATTAGTTTTTGCCGCTTAAATCGAATTTATTTTACGTTTTTAATGTTACTTTTTGCTCGGGTTATGGTGGGCAATAAGGTTTTTGCGTCTGTAGCTGCGCGAAATATTGACTTTCGCCGCTTTTCTCCGGTTTTCACAAATTTTACAACATATTTTTTTTAACTTTTGAGGTTGAGTTTTTCCTGGAGGTTCTTGGTGAGCATCTAGGCATGAGTTTTTATTTTTTGTATGTTTCCTCAACCGACCAAAGGGTGCATCAAGCCTTAGCCATTAGTGAAACCGACCCAGAGTTTACGTTTTTCGCCGATTTTAAATATTTTACTTCCTTTGTGGTTTGTATTCTGAAAAAAAGTTTGTTTCACAAAAAATCCTTGGGAAAACTTAATTGCTTGTCACAATGAGCGCCACTGAAGCGTAGCAAAATATATTTCCGCATCTAGCTAATAATTTTTTAATTGTTTTAATATGTTTCTTGACTTGGGCTTACGCCATCACTGGGACCTTAATATTGATTTATTTTTGCGGTTTTCCTATGGGGAAAAGTTTGTTTCACAGAAAATGTTTGTGAAACCTTAATTGCCTATCACAATCGTCCCTTGAGAGTAGGTAGACAAATATATTTCCGCATCTGCATTTCTTTCCACATTTTTAATTCTTTTAATAGAGCTCTGGCCATTAGTGGGCCCAGCCTGCGACCCAAGCTTTTGGCCCAGGGCCAGGCCCGTAGGAAGGGGGGGGCAACTGGGGCAAGTTGCCCCCAAAATCGGCCGAAGGCCGAAAAATTCATAAGGGGGGACCCTTATGATTTTTTTTCCTCAAAAATTTTTTTGCCTGCGGCGCTTTTTATAGTTGTTTTTAAGGCTGTTTTTACCGTCATGGCCCTAAGTTTTCAAAAATTTTCGCCTGCGGCGCTGTTTTTGATAGTTTTGATACGTTGCCAAAAAATTTTTTTTGGAGTTGCCCCCAAAAATCAGGGATCGCTACGGCCCTGCCCAGGGCCCTCCTCATTCGAGCATCTAGGCTGGTTTGGCGCCAGAATTGATGGATATAGGCAGTGTGAGTGTGGATGGGGCATCTGTGCCTAGAGGTCACCTTTTATCTTCCGATACAGAGATACCCGCTGGCCAGTCCGAACAGGCGCGCCAATAAAAATCGTCCGGCTCGGAGCTAGACTTGACCCCTGGAGAAAGACACAACTTCTAGCTGGGAGGAGGAGAAGCAGGGAAAAGCCGAGAAAATGATAGAGGGGTCGAGAATTAATATATCGACTTCATAGATCATAGAATTACTTTAACTTTGCATAATTGTCCTGGATTCAGGTGACAAAAATGAAAAACAACTTCTTCTGGGCCTTTATATAGCCGAATCACCACTTCCGGTCTATGCTAATTATTTGGCTTATTTTCAAAATGTCGAAATTCATAATGTCGAAACTCATAATGTCGAAATTCATAATGTCGAAATTTAATAATGTCGAAATTTAATAATGTCGAAATTTAATAATGTCGAAATTTCATAATGTCGAAATTTCATAATGTCGAAATGTCAGAATGTCGAAATTCAGAATGTCGAAATTCAGAATGTCGAAATTTACATAAGCTAAAATTCCCGGTAAAGTCCCCGAATTCTAGGCAAAAAAAATGTTGTCGTGAAATACGATAAAAAAATAGAATGTGGAAAAAAATTTTTTGGCTAGGATTTGGCGGTTTCACCGGTAATATTAGCCTATGTAAATTTCGACATTCTGAATTTCGACATTATGACATTTCGACATTATGAAATTCGACATTATGAAATTTCGACATTATGAAATTTCGACCTTATGAAATTTCGATATTATGAAATTTCGACATTATGAAATTTCGACATTATGAATTTCGACATTATGAATTTCGACATTATGATACCAATTCTAATTATTTCCTAACAAAGGAGCTTTCACAAAAACTTAAATTTAATGTCGAAAATGGCTGATTTTGTAAAATTTGATATGTGTGCAATCATCTCAAGACCATTGCGCACCTAATGACGTATCAAACAAACCCATAACTTCATCCCCTATCGAGATATCCTCCGGACAGACAGACGGAAGTGGATGCAAAGTGGCAGACACACAGACACTATTTTTATTTATATAGTAGGATACCCTCGGATAATTCGCAAATCATTTTTTACTTCGGAACACCGATGAATCAAAAAGAGAGATGAAGAATTATCTCGGAATCAATTTGAAGATTTTACGCAAAACGTCTCTTAGAATCGTCCGACCCTTATTTTTCAGTTTGGAAGTATTGGAAGAATACCAATTAAAAAACCGTGGCGCTAAATCAGATTAAGTAAATTTGAAACATCGATGCAAAATATACATGATGAAAATAACGTACATTGTAAAACTCTATCCTTTTTTGAAATTCGAATACTTATTCTGATTAAGAAGTGGGAGCGAGAATTAATATACAATTATTTTGAAACATATGTTTTTTTGGATAAGTATCAGAGCAACGCGGTTTCTAACGGCGGGCAATAGCAACGTATTGAAAAGACGGCCCAAGTATTCATACGTCAGTATTTTTAAACATAATACAAAATAGTCTCGATAATTCGGAGACTCCATTGTTTAAAGGGGCAAAATTGCCAATTCCGATCCAATTAAATCGAAACATTTTTATCCAATCTTTAAAGGTTTTTGGAATTCAGATCTTCTTTTTCGGTTTGCTCCATTTAGTAATTAGGCTCCATAATTCAAAATTGAGATTACACCCGGTGTTAAAACGTATAAATTAAAGTTTTCAAAACCGTATCGCAGGCTTATTTGGCCGTGCGGTGCGGTTTTGAAAAATGTACGGGCTAAAGAATTGTCTCCCAGGGCAGACACCACTTTTTAATGTTGATCGGAACATTTTTTACAACTACCCAAAGCGCTAGCGGTTATTTGAACCTTCCATAGCTATTACGCATTTGTTAAATTACGAGAAGTGGCCAGTGACAAATTGCCGCGAAGCGACTTTTTCACTGGTTAAATTATATTAGCCAAATTTTCATATTCTTAGCCTGCTTCTGCGCTCTCCAGCATTTTGCTGCCTTTCAAAAAAAAAATGTGTTGGGAAAAATAATAACATGCAGCTAGTTTTCGCAAAGTGGTCTTGTCCTTGAAAAAACACACATTTCACGCTAGGTCCCAAGAGGTAATAAGCCAGTTAATTGTAGGCACCCAGTGCTTTCCCTCAGAAAAATCATGTTTCGCGTTAGGTGCCAGATAGGTGGCGCTTTTGCCAGCTAATGCTGGATCATATCAGGTGTAACAATTGACATTGAAACTTTAAGCTTTGGGTTCATGGAAACTTTAAAGCCCCTTCCAGACGCAAAGCTTATGAGGACTTACACATGATAAAGTGCTTCATCAAAAAACATCTTTCGGTACAAACCTTGGTTCAGCGTCGTTGCTACCAAACAAGGGATTTTGGCACGGTCTCGATTAAAAAAATCTCGTTCAGCCGATCTGGTACTAGCTAATCCTCCGCCTCTGCATACTAATAATTGCCGTTGAAATTGTCGAGCCTTCCAATTTCATGCAAATCAATCCATTAATTTTACCTTGTCCCTACCGTTCTCTGATCGTTACCGTCTTGCATTGTTAAAAAATGTGTTGCGGAGAAAACATTAGATCAGCGCTGTATATACAAAATAATGGTTTGTAAATTGGGAGGCGTTTTTACAGTGCAATTAATAGACCAGTTATGGTGCGTAAAACCTTTTTTCTCCCCGAAGAAAAGGTTTCAGGCTAGGTGACAGTTTGACGGTTCTATTAGCAAATTAATCACAAGCGTGGTAGCAAGCGATTGATATTTAACCTTCAAGCTTGGCGATTTCATGAAAATTCAGATTCCAGACGGAAGAATCCAGACGCACAGCTTACGGGGACTTACAAAATCGCAAATTGATCTTTTCGTCAAAAACATGTTTCGGCACAAAAGCTTGTTCAGAGTGTTTTTTATAATGGGTTTAAGCCAAAGTCAGCGAATTTTACTAAACGAGCTGTTTTCCTTTAAAATGATGTTTAACGCTAGGTGTTAGTTTGACGAACCTCTACCAACTAATTCACATCGTGAACGAAATTTGGACATTAAAATGGCATGGCGATACTAGATCCTTTGAAACTCATGTGCAATAGATTCCAGGACGATACCTTACGCATACCTTTCTTGTCTATTTTTTTTTGCTAATACGAAGCTCGCAGGGCTTTAAGAACCCCTCATTTTCGTTCCAATTCAACCGCAACGCGACCGCGCCGCTTAGGAAATCCGAGTTGCAGCCCAAAACAATCGGACAAGAATTTTTGGAGAGCACACTGCTAGGCCGACAGGCGCCAATCTAGCCACGTGTAATTAATTATAGGGTCGGCAAAAAGTGTGGATTGGTTTCGGGCGGCGAGAGAGAGAGAGAGAGAGAGAGAGAGAGAGAGAGAGAGAGGAGAGAGAGAGAGAGAGAGCAGAGAGAGAGAGTGTGTGGAGAAGCCGAGAAAGTATGCGGGGGTCAATCTTGGCTCAATAGGCTAGGTCCCACTTTTACAGCATTCTCAAAAAAGGGGGATCGGCTAGATAAAATATTGGCGTCCTGGGGTACCAGTTGAAAAACCATCCGCAAAAACTGGTAGAATGAATGTTGCGAAGGTTGGGGTGGCTTCCGAGAAATTGGGGGTGATTAATTTATGGTCGATTTCTTCGGACAAAAATAGAAACTGAGACTCTAGGGAAATCAAATATTTTTGTTGAATTAAATAGATTATACAATTAGCTATCTAATGGGTCAGGTTATTAATTTAAATCCACGGTTCTTGAGCAATATCGGGGCTGAGAACCTAATTTTTACTATAAATCCGGAATTACCTAGTAATGCAGCGGTAAGCATTTTAACATTGCTTTTACAAGTGAATATTTCGAGTGGAAAACTATGTAAAAGCTTGGAAATTTTTTAACACCTGGTCAAAAATCGGCCATTTTCACACAAAAAAAAGTTCCTAATTGTGTGAAGTTAGGGCCGCCGGGTTTTCGGCTAATTCGAACTCAGATACAACTCCACAAATCAGACGCTTAAATTCAAAAAGAATAAAGCCAAAAGGCAGTAGGTTTTGAAATTTACCTGAAAATCGGGTTACGAAGCTTGAATTAAATTTTATTATTAATACGAAGAAAAATAATACTATCCCCATCCAGCAGATGCACAAGGATTTATCAAAAATTGAGGTTTCGGAGGTTTGAAGCGCCCCAATAATTTTATGAAATGAATTCCGAGATCCCTCTTAATGATTGATTGTAATCAGGGACTATTTGGAATTTTTCAGATGAGAGCAAATAACGTCGAGCACAAAGAATTATTTAGCAAATAAAAGAAAGGGTTGATGGTTCAGCTTAATCGAGAAAAATGATCGCCGGAACCACAGAAGCCCTCCTAATACTTTGGCTTAAAACATTTTTTCAGCGCCTAAAACGCATACAATAACACCCGAGCATTATTTTGGTTTTATTAATTGGTCAGCTGGGTTTTTAAATTTGCGTTAATAAAATTGATGTGTAACAAATTGTGAAACACCCGTGTCCGATTTCCCTATTTAATTTTCAGGCCGATAATATCTCCCTCAAAAAATCTTAAAAAGTGTCAAATAACAATGAACAATGGCCAAGGACAATTAATGTACCAAAAATAAATGTTTTGATCATTTTACCTCAAAAAACATAATTTTTTTCAGGTGTTTGCCGATGGCAAGCGGATGACGGTTGATGACGACAATTGCACCGCCGAACGCCCGCCCGTCCGCCAGCAATGCAACCGGTAGGTTTTCCGTAATTTGCATAATTGGTATCACGCAATTTTACGACTTTTACGCTTCGAATGCCTAGAAATTTAATAAAATTAAATTATTAATAGTTCCTGGTCTTTTTTTGGTTAAATTTTTCAAACACCAGAACTTTTCTGCGCTTAATTTTGTTTTTTTTTTGGGAAAAATAGAGAAAGAAGAAGAGAGATCGAGTTGTCAAAGCCCTATTATGCTCAAGCGTTGTTATCCAAACCATAAACAATCCAAAACTGATTTTTTGCAAATTTTTGCGCAAAAAGCTGGGCTTTAAAATCCTGTAATTTCACGGAAATTTATCGAAAAATTGGTGGTTTGCCGAGCCCCAGATGTCACTCTCCCTCGAATCGATCAGGCTCCATCATTCCGTCAATCCGTCAGTCCGTCACTTTCCTACTGACAACATTGTCACCATTTTCACGCGTCCGATGAAGAGCTTGGGATGTTCTTACGCGTTCTGTCTGTCTGTTTGTCTGTTTGTCTGTCTATCTGTCCATCCTGCGGCGATGTTGCCCCCCGGTGAAGGCGGCTGTCGATATTGTAAAGTGTTTTCTCGGGGTCAGCGGCTAGCTGGATGGGCATTGTCACAACAATTGTTGCTTCTGTCTCGCGCTCTCTCTCTCACTCTCACTCTCGCTCTCGCTCTCTATTCTCCAGAGTCGTCTCTAGGTCAAGTAAGCAAAATAGAAATTCCTCAAAAAAGAAAATAGCGAGAGAACGAGAGAAAGAGAGAGAGAGAGAGAGAGAGAGAGAGAGAGAGAGAGAGAGCTAGTGAAACTGATCATAGAAAGGAAGTAAGGTATCGAATTTCAAGGGTCATTCCTGTCTAGGTAGCTTGCAACTAGCTAGTACTTGAATTATTTAAGGGATCTCGAAGGCAGAAAACTTACATCATTTATACGCAGCAATGGCAGCGATGCTTAATGAGTTGAAGCTGTCAACCAAACAAGCCAATAAATTCTTACGGCGAGAAATGAAGAGGGAATTTCTTGAAACATATCTTTGAACATGGATGCTTTAAGCCTGTGTTCATCCCCGTGCCAGCCTGGATAACGTAAAATAGTTGAAATCGTCAGTATTGCGTAAATCCGAAATTATTTTCCTTTAAATAATATTGAAACATGAATACTTTTTGTAAGATGACTAATTTTGAGCCTGAATTGCAATTTCGCAGTTGCCTTCGCGTTTTGGGGTGAATTTCCGGATAATCGGTGAGGAAATATTTGGGGAGCACGGTTTTGGAAGCCACGAGAACTAGAACAAGAAAGCCCGGAAACGATAATGTGTTGCAGATATAATACACAGCAAAACCAGGCTGCTTCTGGTATTGAGCTTGAGGAATTGTTGTCACAGCAAAATTAATCTTATCTTTTTCAGATTCGCGTGCCCCGAATGGCATGCCGGTCCGTGGTCGGCCTGTTCGGAGAAATGCGGAGATGCTCACCAGTACCGGTCCGTCACCTGCCGCTCCGAGAAGGTAAGGGATTATCAAAGAGGGTATTTGAAATTTTGCAAAAATAAAAATGTTTCGCATAGTTTTGACTTTCTAGGCCGATTGCCTATTTCAATTTATGATTAATCGCGCAGGTCATGGTTTCAAAAACTACTGAAATCAGTCATCCCGGGTAATTCAGGATATCATAAATGCCCTTAAATTCTAGAAAAATGAAAACCAAATTTAGCTTCGTTGCGGAAACCTGTAGTCATGACAGACAGACGAAACGCATATGGTATGCGGAGATTTTTAAAAATGGCAAAAGTAATTGTTTCAAAACATTGTCTTCGGTCTCTTTTGCGATGCTTATAATTGACGTAAGTCGAGTAGAAGCACGAAAGTATCTCGACATTTACGAAAAGAAAAAATGTTTAGAATAGCTTTAGGTTTAGAAAGGACTTAGTTTCAATCAGCCCAACAAAATACAGTTAAAAAGCCACAGAACCAGATAATTCTACACGAGCTAGAATTATAAAAAAACCCCTATTTTTTGACGTTTTCTTAACCTACTAAATTTCAATTTCATGAATGCATGAAAATTGTTTTTTTTTCCAAAATTAGAGGCTTTTAATGTGTTTTTTATTAAAGCTGGACACGAGTGTATGTGAGGAGTATCAGGGTAGATACGCAAAATCCCTGATGATACCGCTTCAACCCGCGATTTCGAAAAAACATTTGTAAAAACATGTTTTGGCCTAGATCGTGCGTAAAAAGCACAAATCCGCCCACTGCAGGATCGAGATTTAGCCGGAAAAACTATTGGTATTTTTGGTAACGTCTAGCTAGTTGTATTTAAGAAAAAAGAAAGACTTCCTAATATCGATAAAGTTGCATTCGACTATGTTTCGACAATCCGTTTTGATCAAAACATCATTTTTCAGGAAGGCGAAGAGCAGAAGCTGCTGGCGGCCGATGCCTGCAACGCCGACGAGACGATCGAGTCGCAGAGGTCTTGCAATTTGGGCCCATGTGAGGGACTCAAGTTCTACACGACCGAGTGGAAATTGGTATGTTTCTTCGAATTTTGAGATGAACGGACGATCGGAGTTCGTAAAGTCAACGTGGCTTGCAGTCGTCTAAAAAATGCTCTCGTTGGGTGGTTCTAAAATTTAATGTCTCTTCTAATTATTTTTGCTGGGTCTTAACATTTAAAAAATGAACTTCGGTCTGGAAAAACCGGAAAAAAGATGTATCAAACAGCTATAAATAGCCATAGAATCAGAAAAATTTGGTTTGATCTTCGGATTCCAATCCCAAGTTTTGAGTCGTTTTAGCTTCTATTGAAAGTGTTTCATAGACGACTTTGGTATCTTTAAGCTCCCCTATTTTATTTTTTAAAAAAATTTGATGCGGGGCAGACAATGAGATTATGTTTTGTCATGCTGCACGGTTTTATACTGGGCCAGTTGTGGGCAATTAGGAGTAGTCTACCAAATTTCATCTCTTCTTGTCGTAAAACATATTCATTCTAAAAAGTTGAAAATTGTTTTTTTTTTGGGAAAATTTGAGATTTGAAACCAAAAACACAACTCCAACGGTAGCTGGCGCAAAATTTAGCGCTAAAGAATTCCTAATATATTTTTTCGGCCCTTACCGCTTTTCTGAGATCCTTAATCAACCAGAAATTCATCGCAGGCGCGTATTTTGCGGATCTTAATGTCCTATAGAGCGGGAGGTATAATTTAGCATCGTAATTCTTTGAGTGGTACTGCCATAAAACTGGCAAAAATTCTATGCCAAATGTCTCAATGGGATGGTGAGATGAATGTCATTTCCTAAGCGGAATCATCGCGTTGGTCCCAAGCGAAAGTCTTGTCCTCTGCGAAACACCGAATTCCAAAAAATGTTGAGTGAGCATAGTTCTTATCAACTCACCTAGAATGTTCGAGAAAACTAAAAAATTCAATTCGTTTAGGGAAGACAAGCAAAATGCATTAAAATATCTTTGAAAAATAAAAAAGGGTTAAGGCTAAAATTAAATGTTATGTTGAATGTTAAAATAAAAAGCTGAAATTTTCAATGTAATTCGCTCCCGGGAAGCTTGTCAAAAAAATTATTTTCTGCAAACAAAGAGCAATGCAAAAATAATAACATAAATACTAAAATAAATCCATATAATAGGAAATAGAATAAAATACAGGGACTGGAACCACAAAATAATTTCAACGTTTACAAAAATGTAAAGATTTGGCTTGGCCGCGGGGTTAAAATTAAGTGTTTTGTTGTAAAACGTTGCCCAGTAAGCCTGATTTTGATTAGTGATTTCTTCCTTTGAAATGAAAAAACATTTCATTTTAGTGCGAGAAGTGCAACGACACGGAGGAGACGCGCAACGTCACCTGCAAGGACACCATGGGACGTGCCTACCCCCTTGAGAAATGCCTCACCGACAACACTACGGATATTCCTATCGACACGCGGTAAGAGATTTGGATGCAGAGGTGTACTTTTTAAAGAATAAGCGAGTAATTTAGAATATTTGTACGCCACAATAGTATATTAAAAGATACTTACATTAATCCTTATTAATAAAACAAACTGATAAAGGAGGTATTGTGACAGTAATAATTCGCTTCGAGAAACTGGAAAATTAACTCTGTTTTTTCACCAAACCAGAGATTTTTTATTGAAACACTTATTTTCCACGTTTCTTGAATTTGCCAAAAATTTGAGGTTATTCGCAGTTCTTATGTCGAAATTGCGTTCTATCGAAATTGAACTTTTCGTAATACCTAAAATCTCGATTTTCCTACAGGCCTCAGAGAAATTAATTTCGACAAATAAAATTTACTACAAATTGTTTTCGGTTAAAGGAAATGTCGACAAAACGAATTTCGACAAAATAAATTTCGTGAAGATTAAATTTCTGCTAATAATTTTGACATACTAATAGGCATTTAATGAACAGCCGTCTTTCGCCGTTTATTAAATGCAAACTAGGTAGGTAGGTCGACCGTAAGTGACGATGTTTCAATCGAAAAAGTAGCAAAACCGGCAAAACTTCAAAAGATTAGCATGGGGACGTTTTGCTACTGCCCAACTTTCTGCAGGCCGCTTGGTGAAATCGACGTAATTTTATTTCATACGTAATAATAAGAAAATTCCTTTCCTTGAAGTTCTATACCTAATTGAAACATTTTTCCAAGCCCAGGGCATGCTTTTCGGCAAGACAGTTACTAATTATCAATAGCTTAGATCAATGCGCTCTTTGAAAGAGCATAAATAGATAAAATTCAGGTAACACAATATGAAAAAATGAGATTAACAAATTCCCAAATCAAGAAAACGGGAAAAGAACAGATGTGGCTGATCGGAATTCAAGATCGTAATTGGTTGCACGCTGATGTTTTATTAAATTAAGCGCTGGAAAATGACGGGCCAACAAAAAAGTTCAAATAATTAATTAAATCCTAAACCACTCAGATACCCGCTTTTCCAAAACATGTTTTTTTCCAAAATAGTTTTTGGGCTATTTCTGAAAAAATTGGTTTCGTTGAGTTGGTTTAGGAAAACAGGATCTACGCAATTGATGCAGTTAGACGCTCCTCATTTTTGCTTTTGGCTGCTTCAAGTCTGTTTTTAGTGCTTGCGCCACACAACAGCCGTGCGTCTACGAGTGGACTGCGTCGGAATGGTCGAAATGCTCGACGGAATGCGGCCATGGACATAAGGGAAGGAAGGTCTTCTGCGCTATTCATCAACTCGGAGGGCTAGAGGTACGGTATTTTTTTAACATTATTTATAGTAGTTTATTAGGGCTTATTTTAATTCTGTCGAAAGTTCATTCTGTCGGCCTCTCAATTTGTCGAAAATTCAATCCGTCTGGCGTGTCGATTATTCAACTCAAAAATTTCGGAAAATCAGCTCATTGGAATTTCTATAAGAGAAAATTTTGACAAAGCGCTACTTCGCCAAAATGATATTTCGACAAAAGGAAATTGCGACAAAATTATATGTAAAAGGAAATGATTGCAATAGATTATTTTAAAACCAATTAAGTTACCCTTTTTACTTAATTAATTAACTAATTAATTAAGTAAGTTTCTGAGATCCTAAAATAAAAAATTTTTTGTAATTTTTAAAAAAACAGCTATCCTGGTTGGAAATTTTTCGCTATTTGCGGCAGGAAAGCACAACTTATGCTTCGAAAAGCCTAGAATAAGAATTTTTCGCTTTTCACTACTATGGTCGCTAAAGATGCTTTGCAAGACGTTTGAAACTTTACCAAACAAAATATACTGTTTTTGTTCCTCCAGTTAAAAACGAAAAGAAAGAAGACAAAAATGTTTCGGATTTTTGCAAAGAATCGCTATAATGGTGTGACTTAATTCAGACATCGTGGACCGCCAAATGTTAGATTAGACCCTTATCGCAATAGCTTTTCCTTTATAATAGATTTTTCTGTATATTAATTTACTCATTATTAGGTCGTCGACGAGGGACTTTGCCAAGGAGACAAACCGGAAACCAAGTCAAACTGCACGAACGAGGAGAAATGCACGGGAACGTGGTATACATCGGATTGGAGCAAGTGTACCGAGGAGTGAGTTGTAGTTTTGATACAGCTTCTAATATTATTTTTAAGCTTTATAACATGTTGGAAAAAATGTAGCCTGCCTAACTTTAGTTGGTCTTGCGTTTTTATAGCCTAAAAAAATTCGCGTCGTGAAATGTGTTTCAGCATTTTTCAATTCAAAAACAATTTTTGTGGCGTTAATTTCGCAGGGTTCCCGTCTTTTACGAGCTAGCTTCAAATCTGCGAAATAGGTATAGTCTAAGCTAATCGATCGTCTAATTCCTTTAAATCGGGTGCTTTCGCATTATCGGGGGGGGGGGACCAGATTTTCACTAGTATCCAAGATTTTCTAATGAAATTGGGCGTCGTTTCTAAAATTATTTTTTACTCTCCTAAGCGCAGAAGCTTTTGCAATTTTTTTGAAAAAAAATTTTTTTTCGAAATTTATCGGCGCAACATGCTAGATTTTCAAAAAAATCCTTATTTTAGATATTTTTAGTTTTTCGCTCAGGATTTAGTTAAACTGTTTCAAAACCACTGTTAAAACAATTGCCATAAAGCAATAGAGTCCTAAATTACAACAATTACGCCGGGATCATTTAGAAAGGTAGGCCGGTCTTTATGAGAAACCTGCAAAAAAATGTTTTGAAAATCTCGGTAAATGAGCCCAATTTTAGGCCGAGTAATCAATTATTAACACGTACTAAATAAGGACCATCAGTATATGGCTTAAAACATATTTTTTTGGCAGCAAGAAAGTTGTCTGCGAATCACACGCGTCAAGATAGCCTTAATGTAATTATAAAAATTCGAACGTGGTATTATTAAAATGGTTTTCAGATGCGGTGGCGGAAATCAGGAGCGGTTGGCCGTGTGCCTGAACTACGACAAGAAGCCGGTGCCCGAGTGGTGCGACGAGCTGGAGATGCCAGCCGTGTCGCAGGAGTGCAACAAGGACCCATGCCCAAGTAAGCTTTTTAAAGGGATGCCGACGGCATAGTCAATCGGTTACGCGCTGGAAGGAAATTGTCTCTGCGTCTCTCCCCAGGGCGCGCCCTCTGCCCTGTTGGCTACTTGCCAATTTGTTGGGGGATCGACACATGCCGTCGGCAGCCCTTGAAAGATAAAGCGTCATAAGCCCAAAAAAACAATGATTGATTCTCAGCCTAAAAAATAGCTTCTCGAAAAAAGATGTTTCAAAAAATGTCATCGTTTCGAAGAATCGGTGTATTTCTAATGTCTTCCTCACAGTAGTTTTTGATACGAGCCACTGTAGAGGGATTAAAATCGAATAATCAAAGCCTCTCCTTTATATTAATTTTAAATATAAAGACAATACATAAAATTAGGATGTAAAAAGGATCGCTGGCGAAACTTGAGCATTAATATTTTTGACACGCTGATTAAAAATTAATGAAATAGCTTTTTTCGCTTTTTTCCGTGTTTCGCCAGAATCGACCAGATTTTTCTAACTCATCCCTGATGTTGATTAAAATTTTTCCTTCAAAGCCCTGCATCTAAAATTTTGAATTTTGTTTTTGAATTTTTATACAGCGTGTTTCACGTCAACTATTTCAAAGCGTGTACGCTCGACGAAGAATCGGAGACATATGTCGACATTCCATCGAAATTTTCGCTCTGATCGGGATTTTCTCGACGCCTTTTGGTTGAGCACCGAAAAAGTTACTAACGATTTTAATTTCAGCCTCAAACAATAAAAACTAAAAAAGTTACGGCAACAACAAGCAACATTCTGCTAAATGTCAAGCCCTCTTCAATTGTATAATCTGAAAATTTCATTGAAAAGTTTCGGCTAGGGTGGCTGAGGCCTAGGGTTGCCCCCTATATGGCCTTCAAAAAATTTGGGACCTTCCGGCTAAAGTTCCCTTTTTTATTTTAGAATTCTTGAAATTAAATGTTTCTGCCAGAATGCTGCTCGAAACACGATAACGTTATTAATTCGGTTGTTGGAATAGTTTAATAAGCTTGAAAAATCGTCTGAATTTAGCTTGCGAGGACTCTGAATTTGGATGCTGCCCGGACAATTCCACTTTTGCCGCCGGTCCCTTCAATCAGGGATGCTCGAACTGCTCGACGTCCGAGTTTGGATGCTGCGCGGATAACTACACTGAGGCCACTGGAGCCAATTTCAAGGTGAGTGAGAGAGAGAGAGAGAGAGAGAGAGAGAGAGAAATAATAACATAAATAATGATAACGTTAAAGTGCATGTGCTATTGAGGTACCTACGACTATCATTTTTTACTCCTTCGTTTCCGGTCTGTTTCATGGAACCTTTTTTTGTGTAGGCGTGGGTGAAGGACTGGTTCTGGGTGTACAAAGCGGTGAAAAAAAATGTTTTGTCGTAGTGGGAATACCTGTCTGGGAATTTCGGATAGGGCGGGCCATTTTGCTTATGCTTTTCAAGCCACCATCTTTCGAACGCAACGTGGCGATACTAAGTATTTATTAAATTAGTGTGTAATTTATAGCTCAATTAGATTAACTTAAATTAACGCCTAGCTTTTCAGGGCTGCCCCGAATTCAACGAAACCACGATCACCGTCGACGAGCTGGCCCAGAACATCATGGCTGCTGATGAGGTAAGACATTCGAAAGCTGCAAAAAAAAATAAAATTAAGCAACAACGCAAATAATGATGATAATCATACCATGAAATTATAGAAGTCCAAAAGTAGTCCGCCAGAAAACTTTTTACCGGCGAAAATTCGATGTTTCGCCAAACAACTTCTTTTGAATCATCAATGATTTTCTCATTGTTGTTGATCATAGTTAACAAAAAATAATTATGGAGTTAATTTGAATTATACGTCAGCCTATTACAACATTATAGGATAAAAAGATTTCAAAATCATGGTGCTGCCTTCAGGAGACAATAAACTTAATTTCCAAGCTTACAATAACCCGAGAATCTAAGGAAAATGTAATGTTTCGTGTTGACTTAGTAAAATTAGGCGATCGACAACGGCAGTGCGCTTCGTGTTTCGTGTTATAAACATTGCGATTATATGAAACTGCCAATCCTAATAAAATAGAGTTTCAAAGTATACATATACCTAGACCTTGAAACATGAAGATCACGGTTTTTCATAAGGCAGCAAATTCGTAAAAAAATATTATGTTTCGCAGGCAACCCGTATTTAACGCCCTTTCGCGCCCCTTCACGCCCTCCTGTAAATAACGCCCCCTGTATTTCGCGCCCCCTGTATTTAACGCTCTCCTGTAAATAACGCCCTGCAAAACGAGCTTTTTCTTGTAAATAACGCCCTTTTCGTGGTCATATGGAGGGCGTTAAATACAGAAGGGCGTTAAATACAGGGGGCGTTATTTACAGGGGGCGCGAAATACAGGAGGGCGCGAAAGGGCGTGAAGGGGCGTTAAATACGGGTTGCCTGTTTCGCATTTTAGTGATAGAAAAGCAAGGGCAGCGATCGCATTCAGCTCTCCGGAGCTAAAAATAATATAACTTTGGCGATTATAACGCTAGCCTGAAGCATTTCTTATTTATAGTAATAATAAAAACCTAATAACCATGATATTGAATGAATTACGGTATCATGCAGTCGCTCAAACTCACAGCAACTTAAAATCATGAGATGTACAAGAAAAATGATGTTACGCTCGAAGCTTGTATGGTTTAAAAATAAACAATCGTAATGCGTCCTCTAATCTGTCTTCCTTACAAATAATATTAAACTTTACAAATATATAATATTACAGTTATTACAAATAACATTAAACTTTAGTTGGATAAATCTTAATATCCTAATCTTAACTGCTAAAGCATTTTAAAAATTCGGCGAAAACAATAAATTTTCCATGTTCCGCCACCAATCAGTGTTCGGTGACAAATAGTAAAAACAATTCATGGTTTTCAAGACGAACTTTTCAGCTGGAAGGCTCCGGCGAGGGTGCGGATTCCGCTGATGGCCTGTGCACGGTGACAAACGAGGATGGAGAGGAGGCAAAGGTTGACTGCAAGACGAACGCCACGCTCGTTGAGGACGACATTTTCGGTGGGAATTAACACAAAAATAATTAATTTAAATTACTGAAGCCGAGGTAATCTCTTAGATTATCCAGTTTTTAATTTTATAACAATAAGATTTATAAGTTAATTGATATCCGGCTTCAAAAATGACTAAAAAGGAACACCACCTTGCGGAATGTTTTTTTTGAAAAGTGTGTTTCGTCAATTTATGTTGCAACTCTTATACGGCGCTTTACCGATAATGAAAATTAATGCCATGAAAAATTCAGGTATTTTCTAAGGAAAACAAGGCAAATTTTAGGTAAATCGAATAACATCAGGTTGAACAGACGGTTACATTTTTCATTCATTATACTATTTTTATAGAATATATTTATTATAATACCAACCATTTTTAATTCAGTGAAAAGTACAAGGAACAAAAAGTAACACTTGCAAATTTCGGTTTAGAAAATGTGTTTTAATAGTTAGACTGGTCAGAGCGTCTGATCTTACGGTAATCGCTGTTGGATGGCAAATTCCATATAAATAGGGGAAATTAATAGGATCAGTAATGACGAAAAAAGAATGCCCTCCTAGCTTGGCAAAAAAATATGTTTATTCTCGAAATAATTAGGCCGACTGGATTCTCAGGATAATGCGTGTTTAATATGTCGGCTTCTACGTAGGCTTAATCCCAATCCCAAGAATCAATAGATTAATCGTTAGATTATTGATTAATTGATTTTAATAATATATTTTTAAATATGACCAAAACGCAAAATAAATTAAAAATTATTTTTGAAATTCCAGGAAACTCGACGGACGGTGGAAACGCTACGATCCACTGCTCGAAGACGGAGTTCGGATGTTGCCCCGATTGGAGTACGCCGGCTGAGGGCAAGAATAACGAGGTTCGTTCCGTTTAATATAACTAATTTATATTAAAGACTATCTCGTAAATAATTGAAGTAGATCAATCTCAATAGTATATATCTCAAATTCCTTAATTGATCCGACCAATGCACACTACTAAATTAGGGAAATTATTGCCATCTATTGTTACGGGAAGAAACACTTTTTTTTAAAATTCGGTGTTCCGCTCCCAACAATTATGATCCGATACGGACGAAATTATGTATGTTAAACCGGTTTTTCACGCAGTTGATCGGTAACATATTTCCTCAAGATGCTCAAAGTTTTAATGGAGTATAGTTTTCGTTTTTGGTAAATTTTTAAAGGCATTACTTGTTAAAGGTTTTTGTGGTACAAAGATTGTTGAAACATAACAATTAGCTGTAAGACCAACATTGATTTCAATGTCAGTTTCACAAATTGCAGAAACGTGAAGCCAAAGTTTAAAAAAACGTTTTCAGGTAGTTTGTTAACAGCATTTAGCATCTAGAAAATTATTACTAGCAAATCGGCTTTTTTTAAAAAGAAAGCTTTATGCTAATTGACAAGCCTAATTGAAATTAGCGCAAAATATCGGGATCATCACAATCCAACAAGATACAAAAACTCACCAAATATATAAGCTGAAACACACCAAAAAAACTACGATTTTGCAGGGCTGCCCCGAGTTCGTGTTGGGCGCTTGCAACGAGACGACGTATGGCTGCTGCCTGGACGGAGTGACACTGGCCCGTGGAAAGAACTACGAAGGATGCGGAGAGGTCGGTTGCTAACAATAAGCTAGATTTTTAGAAACAATTTGCGAATTTGGTAGGGAATCAAAAATTCACAACCGGAATTCCGGGCTCTTTGGTTAAATTATATTTCTCGATCCCCGGTCGTTCGACTAAACTAAAAAAAATTTCCGGGTAGTAAAGCAAAGTTGAAACATTCGAAAAATATTTCGGCTCCAATCCGTTAGGTCTTTTGAAATTTGTTATAAAAATGAGGTATAGTTTACGAATTCTTTGCGCCTGATTCTGCCAACCTTTCTATAATGTGTTCAATAAAAATAAAATCAATCAAACTATTAAAAAAGCGCTCGGGCAGTCTAAAGAAATTTTTCACTTCTTTGACGGATCCATTTTACGTTGCTTTATTTCTTTTACAAGCGTAAAAATGCTACATTAACCAGGAGACAAAACAATAAAAAAGAACGGTATAAAACACGAATTTTAGCCTTCTTGCGCCGCTTCTCTCTACGGTTGCTGCAAAGACCGGAAGACGATCGCCTTCGGACCCCATTATGCTGGATGCGAGCGGTGGGTTATCGAAAGATTTTTTAATCTATTTTATAGAGAAATTTCATGGAAGAAATAACCAGATAGAGCTACCTTAATCTAGTCTAATTTTAGGATTTTCATCATTTGATATTTTAGTTTAGCTGCATTAATGTGTGGCCATACATCGTATTTTTATTTTGCTCTCGATAAAAACCCAAGAATTTATAGCAGAATTTCGAGACATCACAATTTTTATTTTTACGAAACATTTTATTCTTCGGAAATACCTTGAAAATTATACATAGCCGCCTTAAGCGATCTGTCCACGTTAAATTCTGTAAAAAATGTACTGTAATGCAAGCAGTAAAAGCCATTCATTCCGAATGATTTTCAAAAAGGATGTTTCAAGCTAGAGCAATCTTATGTCGCATTAGTTTCCGTCGATAGCTTAGCTGCAAAAGTTGCACAAGGTGTGAAAAAGTAGCAATAAAATTACTTTATTTTTTTAGGTCCTCGTTCCCCTGCGAGCTGTCGCCGCATGGCTGCTGCCCCGACGGCGAATCCGCCGCCCTCGACAACAACGGAACCGGATGCGGAGAGAATTGCCTCACCACCAAGTACGGTTTGAAAATGATTTTTGGAGCTTTGCATTATCGGAGGGGGACCAAAGTTAAAATTCTTGAAGAAGTCCTGAAATGCCTGGTGGCCTGTAAAAAGCATTTTCAGGTTTTGAAATTTTGGCCAAGAGATCGTTATTTTTCTAATTTTTTTCATACAAGATTGCCAATGAATCAGGAAAAACGCCTAGAAATAAAGATCAGTTGAAATGGAACATTACATTTGCGTGCTACGTTTTTGGAAGCGTTGACCATTTTTCCAATAACATGTTTCATTCCGGGTTTGGGATGGGTGTGATTAATCGGTCTTGAGTCACTTTATTTTTCACTAGGCCATATCTTAAAAGTGCCATAATCATAAAATCATATACCCTAAAACCTCGTGTATAGATCCTCCCCGTGTATAGTTCCGGGTGAAAATTTTCATGTATACGGAGCGTCCGTAATTCCGTTTGACCGTCATTAGGTGTGTTTCGTTTTTCCGGTTTCTTGCAAATAACGCCGCTCACGAATGGTATTTTTGCAATTTTGATGGAATAGTTGTTCGTATTTCGACTATTTCCAACAATTTGAGTGGTTTAATGAAAGAAATTGCTGCATGAGGCCCTGAGAACCGGCTCTTTTGGCTTACATAGCTTTTGGGCCGAATTGTACCCTACACACATTATTTGGTGTCATTTGTATTGGTACGGAACCAAATTGTACCGGACCTATACACGGGGTTTTAGGGTAATTAAAGACCCGACTTTTTTCGAAAAATACGTTTCATGCTCGCGTTGTGTACGGTGATACATATTTGCGTAATTCGAAGGAATTTTTCCTCCTGGTTAAAATCAATTTTAAAAAGCCATAATTCAACGTCCCTAATCAAAAAAACAGTTTTAAAAAAAGCGATAGCGGTCGTGTAGAAGAACAGTGTTTCTGTAACCCAAGATGACGCCTAGGTCATTTTAACAGTAGTGCAAACTTCAGCAAAATTTGAGAAAGATGCCAGCCACAACACAACAAAAAAGATGATTGATGGACAAATTAAACCTGGATTATTGGATATCGATAAAACACATCTTTTCCAGATACGGCTGCTGCCCCGATGGAAAGACCCTGGCCAAGGGACATCACAATGAGGGATGCGGGTGTGAATTTGCTCAGTTCGGATGCTGCCCTGATGGAAAGAGCGTCGCCAGAGGAGCCGCTTTCTATGGATGCCCCGATACTTGTGCTCAAAGTAAGAGAGTTCATAAGAAATTGGACTAGAATTAAAAAGAACCTCTCGCTCTCTCTCTCTCTCTCTCTCTCTCTCTCTCTCTCTCTCTCTCCCCATAGCATTCCCTCAATAAAATTCGTGAACTTTTCAATAATATGTTTTGAAAAATTCATGGATTAGCAGCGATTGGCCTATTTTTAATTTCAGTCCATTTCAAACGCGTAAATAAATAGTCTTGCAAACTAATCTTTTGTCAGTTTCTTTAGTTTCTTTGAGGTGCAAAGATATTTAATGGGATGCTAAGGCCTGAATTTGTGCTATCTTTCTCTTCCTCTCGCCTCTCACCTTTCCTCCTCCTCCTCCCCCCCCCTCCTCACCCCTCTCTTTCCTCTCACTCTCGCTCCCCCCCCCTCCCCTCCTCCCTCCCCCCCCCCCCCCTAACTACTATCCGAATGATCGCAAGAAAATGTTTCTAAATTATGGTGGTTGAGCCGAGCTACGTATTTTAATGCACCCCCCTCTGCGGCGCGAAATTTATCAAAAATTTAGATTTTAATAGGTCTAATAACACTAAAAGAATAATTTTTTAATATAGATTATATTATTGGAATTAAATAAGGTATGATCAATTCAAGATTTTTCTTTTTGTTTCAGGCCAATACGGTTGCTGCCCGGACGGAAAGACGGGAGCCCGCGGACCGAACAAGGAAGGATGCCCGTGTCAGTATACCAGATATGGATGTTGCCCAGATGGCGAAACGACCGCCCTTGGGCCACGGTTGGAGGGATGCAACGATTGCCGATATGCCAAGTGAGTTGAGACACAAAGTTTTAAAGGGGCTCGGAAATCAAAATTCCTGCGTGCGGGGATTGACCCTCCTGATCAAAAAAAAAACGAAAGATTAATTTCGTAACGAAAAACATAAAATATTTGAAAAAACCCAAAAGTTCCAGGGGCGAAAACGAATTTTGAGTGCGTGACGATTACATGTCGTAATGCCACGTAAGCCACCCAATCTCTCGATCTCGGCCATTCTCTGGTCAATTTCATATTAAAAAGTCTGTGATGATCAAAATACGATGAGAATTACAGAAATCGTTTCAGTATAATTCAAACGTTTTTACGTCCAAACAGGGGCCAAATATCATGCGGTACAGTCGCGTTGCGGTCGCAGCTGACTATTGGCCAGGAATCAACGCTGGGGGCCGTGGAACAGTTTTGGGAGCCCCTTTAAAGGGCGTCTGGCAGCAAGCCCCTTTTTCCACGATTCGTGGAAGCGTCGCGGTCGGGTGCGTCGCGGCAGGGAGAGAAAGAGCGCGCCCAGAGGAGAGACCAGAACTCTGCGTCTCTGCCCGGTCCCCAAAATGCCGTAATCGGTGTGCTGCCAGAGCCGCTTTAAAGAGCTTAATTGGTTTAATCGTATTTAATCAGTATGCAAAAACCGCGAAAAACACAATAAAGGACGATTTTAACAAATTAACATATATACATTTTTAGAGGTTTATCGAGTCGGGGGCACTAAATAAAAAAATTATGAGGATAACAAGTTGTCCCTGCCCATTAATTTATCGAATCTTGGCGGTGGCTGTAATTTTGATGAAACAAGCTTTCTCAACCCAAAGCCTTGTACAACTAAAAATTTAACAAATGAAACGTTTAGTAAGATAAAGCAACAAATAGCTAACCAAATTTTGACTGTATCGTAATGCCCAGAATTTATTTAATTTGCTGAATTTCAGATACGGATGCTGCCAAGATCAGGAAACGAAGGCGCTCGGCCCGAACTACCAGGGATGCCCATCCACCACGCAGATGCCATTCAAACGCGGAGGTATCGTAATATGCCTATTAATACTATGTATTATGCATAGTGAGTTATTTGTTTATGTCCTTCATTATCAGAAAACTAAGCCTTTTGGAGAAAAGTTATCAGAAAAAAATGTTTCTGCGAATAGTGAAAGTTTTGAAACAGGGAAAATGACATTGGCGCAGAAGGATCATAGAAAAAATAAGTGAATGCACGAGATCTGTCGAAAATTTATATTTTTTCCAACTACACCGAACAATCGAAATACTTATTTCATTATTTCGAAAAAGAGAAAGATTTGGGTTCTCTAAAGATGCAAAGTAAAGATGTTTCGTGTCAAATCAGCAATTGCATCAATAAGTCTAGACCAATAAGCAAAAGTTGCATCCTCGAAATTTTGGTATTTAATTGTTTTTTTTGCCGGGATTAATAGCAAGTCATAACAGTTAAGTGAGCGCTACTTTAGTCCATATTGAGATTTTCGAATTTTTTTGTATTGTTATAGGTTTTTTCTATCCGGTACATTGAAATCGTTAGCAGCGATCCAATTTCCGGTCAAAATCTTTGTTCTAGAAAATTTAAGCCAGGTATTATAAATTGTAGTAGACTTGGGAATACATTATTGTAAAAAACTTACCTTTTTTAAGATCTCTAGTCACTTAAAAACCTTTGAAAAAAAGATGTTTTGATAAAAATATTGGGGCGCGCGTAGTAGGATTTCACAATTTTGGTTGATGCTTTTCGGCCATTTCTCGACAAAAAATTAAGAGGTTTGACATTAATTTAAAGACGTTTGTATCCCATTTTTTATAATATAAAAAACGCATTATTTTTGCACTAAATCCTACTCCAGGTACCGTCTCGCCACCAATGATCCAGGCCTGTGCCCTGCCCGAGGATAAGGGATCCGTCTGCGGCTCCGGATACAAGCTGGTTGGTTTTCAATAATTTTACAATTTCTAATTTGATTATTGCCATTAAATACAAATTGACAATTCCTCGAGGAAGTCTTAAAACTCGCCTGTAACTCGCAAAAAATTAAAAAATTGGTTGTGCAAAAATGTTGCGTCTCAAAATGTAGCTGTTGTGGGTAATCGAGCAATCTAACGTGGTAATAATTCTGGTTCTATTTTTCGCGCCGTTAACTTATTTTGCTGGCTAATTATGGAGGAATTTTGAACTCAATGTTTTCCAATAAATGCAAAAAATCCCAAGAATGACACAAAAAATTATGTTACGTGATATTGCCAAAGATTGCGAATTGATTCGAAATGATTTTTTTAAAAGGCCGAGACGATAGGCGGTAAAAAAAATTATTAAAAAAAATGTTTCTGTAAAAATTGAAAAGTATGAAAACTATGTAAAGGTAATCTTCGCGGACTTGGTAGAAAATGAAAGCGTCAGTTTCACTGGTATACTAGGCAACTTAGTACGTCGAAAACCATCTTTTCTAATAATCGAACGCTTTGCAGTCGTGGTACTACGACACGGCCGAGGGACGGTGCTCGCAATTCTGGTACGGCGGATGCGACGGCAACCAGAACCGTTTCGGCACCGAGGAGATGTGCAAGGAGGTCTGCGTCGAGCCCCCACAGAAGGGTACGTTTACGTTTTTAAAATAATTCGTATTTAAAAAAATATATAACGCTATTAAAACTAATTAAAAACGTTAAAAGCTCTTGTACAGATAGATTACACTAATTCTCGGCAAAATCGTATCTACATAAATAATGGCAACTTTAAAAAGTTGTACCAGGAATTCGGAAGACGACTACAAAAGATCATTAACTCAGCCAAGTTTTTATTCTGGTACCACTAAAGTCTAAAACATATTTTTACAAGCACCTTCCAGGATAATAAAGTTATGGTAATTAATGGTAATGATTCAGCAAAACGCAAAATCTCACGAACTACAGGCGCATTAATGAATCCTATTTCTTCCGGGAACCGCTAAAGTCTAAAACATATTTTTGACAAGATTTTGAACTTACTGTAACGTGTTTTTACTCAACTTGGAGTTTCGATTCGGGACCAAGTGCATCTTGTACAGAATTTTTCGCTGATTCCGAATATGGTTTCCAAATTTGCTACGGACCGTTATTCTGAAAGTTATACGGCAACTATGACCCTAGTTTTCACTAAAATGAAGATATCGTTATAGTTTTCGATTTTCTTCATTAATTTCAACGTCAAAATTGACTAGACGTTGGCTCGACAAGCATCTTACAGCTCAAAACAAGCATTTTAGAAAAAAATGAGATTTTTATGCAAAAAGCAAAAGAAATGGTGCAGGGCGGGGGTTCGAACCGCCGCCCGGCGCTTGGCAAGCGAGTACTTTGCCAATGCACCATGGTGCCAACTGGTTAGGGTGCTGTCAGAGGGTACTTCAGGGCCCCTGGGAAGAAGAGCCCCAAACAAGGAATAGTGGGCCAGCGTCTGAATTTTTGGCATTTTTCGGCCTAATTGTTACCAAAAATGATTTTTTAAATAACAGTCCGTAGCAAATTTGGAAAACATATTCGGAATCAGCGAAAAATTCTGCACAAGATGCGCTTGATCCCGAATCGAAACTCCAAGTTGAGTAAAAACACTTTACAGTTAGTGTCAGTAACAGTAATATGGTAGCTAGGTAATTTTTCGGTACACATAGGATAACGGGGGGGAATAAAATAACGGGGGGGCACTCATTATTATGAAATTTGCAATTACTGAGGGATTTTGCGAGTGCCATTCGATAGAGCGTCGAAAAATATACTAAGAGAATTAATTTCAGCCCGAAATAATGTAATAGAAATTTTTTATTGAATAAACAAAAATTGCGGAAAATCTATGGGCAGCACATAGGATAACGGGGGGGGAAAGTCAAATTTTCGAAATTTTCGAAATTTTCGGTATTTTGAAAACGTCATTCGATAAAGCGTCGAAAACTGCCCTAGGAAAATTAATTTCAGCCCGAAATAATGTAAATGAAATTTTTTATCGAATAAACAAAAATTGATCAAAATCCATGGGCAGCACATAGGATAACGGGGGAAAGCCAAATTTTTGAGATTTTCGATATTTTGAAAACGCGAATCGATAGAACATCAAAAAATATACTAAGAGATTTTTTTACAACGCGAAAAAATGTATTATAAAAGTTTTATAGCCTAAAAACTATTTTTGAAAACTATGGGCAGCACATAGGATAACAGGGGGGGAAAAAAATTTTCGGCGTTTTGAATATTTTCGAAATTTTGAAAATGCCATTCGATAGAGGACCGAAAAATATACTAAGAGTTTTTTTTACAGCCCGAAAAAAGCTTATTTAAAAATACTTTTATCATATAAAAAGTTTGAGTGCCCCCCCGTTATTTTTTCCCCCCCCCCCGTTATCCTATGTGTACCAATTTTTCGATAACAAAACGTTTTGTTCTTTCGTTGTAAAAAACGGCACTACAGTTTCGACATGAATTCTCTTGTCAGGTTTGCGAGACCTACGTAACTGAGAAGGTGTTTCATTACACTAACCTGGACACCGACTGAAAACAATAGTACTATTTCCAGAGACATCGATATCGAACAGCCATTATAATTTATCTTTTACGTTCTGGAACCGCGAAATCAGAGAACATCTTTTTTCTTCTTATTTCTTGGGTATCATGCATTAATAGTTGTAGGCATCCTAAATTTTAGCGTTTTTTTACGGCTAAATTCTGGCTTAACTGATCCAGGTATGTAGAGTTTGACAATACATCGATACCAAAAAACTAAACTGAACAACCAGAAAAAGAGTGTTTCAAGAAACGGATTTCTTTATTTTCTTTTCTTTCTTATTTTCTTTATTTGATGTGTGCTACAGTTATAAAAAGATATTTTAACTGTGAATGCATAACGCGTCATTTGTTGACTAAATTACGATTCACATCCGAGCATTATGAAAAAATTTTGGTCACGGAAAATGCCATGGGATAAACACATTTTTTCTAAAGTATGTGTATATGAGTGCCAATTGAGTACTCTAGGCTTAACGGTTTTATAATAACCGCGTAGGTATCGGTATTTAATACCTCACTTTTAAGCCTAAAACTACCAAAAACTTTAATGGAAAAATTAGCCGTGAAATTGTGTTCCAGGAAACGACCACGGTGTAAAACATATTTTTTTTTTTCTAAAGTTAGGGGTCCAAAAAGCAAATGAGTACTTTAATTTTAACAGTATTTTGGAATAGTTGCGTTGGTATCGTCACTTAATACACCAATTTCCAGGTCGTTGTTACCTGCCAAAGAACGAGGGACCACTCCGTTGCGACTCACCGACCGCCCGCTACTACTACGATCACAACACGCGACAGTGTGCCGCTTTCTGGTGGAGAGGATGTCTCGGAAATGCCAACAACTTTGACAGCTGGGAGGAGTGCTCCGTAAGGATTTGCCAATAATTTTGTACAAATTTAATGTTGCAACGAAAATACTTGAGAATTGGCTCAAGGATGATATAGATTAATTTTACATTTTCGATTGTTTTATTACTAAAAATTCAATTCGATTCCCTAGGAATTTTTCTGAAATATATTTTTTTGTGGAGATCATAGATTCCTGCACTAATTATTATTAACAGCAATAATATACTTTTTCAGACTTTCTGCAAGGACATCGGACCGCTGCCCGTCGAGCCCGTCACTGAAGCCCCCAGGGCACCCGAGCCACAGGTAATTCTTGAATTTTTTAATTAGATCTCTTTCAAATCAGTTAAATATTTATTAAATTAAATCGCACTATAGTTCCGTTGATTGCTCCGCCGTTTCGACACAATTGATCAGTATTGGATAAAGCACATTTTTTTCTAGCACGATCTGATGTTGTAATGGAACATACCTTGAATTCTTATGCTATCTTAATTTTTACTGAAGTTATTGCGGTAGCTCTTACAATTCAAACTCTTGCAATTACATTAGCTATTCAATTAAAAAAAATTCGAATTTGGGAAAATCTGCTTCAAAAATATAGGGCTGCAGAGAAAGCTGCGGCGCCCAATTCCCTAGCGTTTCCTTTGCTTCTGTCGAAAGCGTATATTTAAATTTTTAAATTTTTAAATGGATGGGATTGCACTAAAACATTTCAAAAGGCATAGTAAAAATTTTACTTTTCATCAAGCCTGTCAGAATTTTGAAAAAAATATGTTTTAAAAAGGTTCGAGCTTACGAACGGAATTTTTCAGGTTGATTCCGCGAAAAAAAAAACTTCTGCAAACATTTTCCTTTAACGCTTTCCAGATTGCGAATCTGGCTATATATTTTCCGATACACCTCATTAGCACCTTACTTTAAATCAATCCACTTCCAGTTCGACGTGCGCCCAGCTGGAGAGCAACAACCCGCCCAGACGGTACGCGCTGATGCCAAGGACACGACTCGCCCGGCTCCGCCCACAATGGAGGAGATCTGCCGATCGACCGCCGATTCGGGCCCGTGCACTGAATACAAGGAGAGATGGTGGGTATTTAAAGGGACAGGGACACCAGGATCCTTCAAAATGTCGCAAATCTGAATGTTGAAATTAATAGTGTCGAAATTAATAGTGTCGAAATTCATAATGTCGAAATTTACATAAGCAAATCAACCGGAAAAGACCCAAATTCTATGCAAAAATGTGGAAATTCTGAAATTTCGACATTGTGGAATTTCGAAATTATGAGATTGCGACGTCATTATGGCAAATCGATTACTATTTGATTAAAGGGGTAGGCGGTATTTAAAGATCTTCTTATTTAAAGATCATATTTAAAGATCAGGCAACCTGTAAATTTTGTCAACCTGGTTAATTGCCTGACCGAGCCTAGATAAAAGATGTTTCAACGATTGGAGTGGATTCCCACTTTTGCTTGGCGTAATTCGTGGTAGTTTTGGTAGAGGGCTTTTTACGCGTTTTATCGATCTGGTCGATGGCTCCAAAACAAAAAAAAAGACGTTGCGACATTATAATCTTGGATCTTAAAAATGATCGGGGTAAACGGCGAGTTGTGTTTGAAAATAAATGTTTTAGTAAATTCACTAGCGTAGTTGTTGTTGGGGTTCTTCAATTCAGTTACCATTTATTTTTTTCCCGTTCCCTATTCAATTTTCCTACATCTTCATCCGTTCCTTGCAATAAAAAATGTTTCAGCGCATGATGTGGATTACTTAAGTTTTGTTTGCGTAATTCCGCGACCGCTCAACTCAAAAATATCACCAAAACAAGATTCAGATTCCTATTCCTGAGCGTAAAGGCTTTACAAATGCGTCCAAAAATACAAAAATATAGGGTTTTCGACCAAAATTACAATTTTCTTAGATTTCGATCAATTTTGCCAATTGAAATATAGTTTAGTCAGAACGTTATTAAAGTACCTGCTATTACGTTAGTAAGGATTCGTCGTCTCCGATAATGCGAAGGCGCCACTAATCAGAATTAAATAAAACCAGGGTTGAAAAGCCGCTTCGCGACTTTTCAACCCTGGCCCCGTCTGACCCCGTTTTATCCTTCACTTTGCATAATTTTCCTGAATTCAGATGACAAAAAATGAAAAACCACCTGTTGAGCCCCTTTATATAGTCGAATCCCCACTTCCGGTCTACGCTAATTGTTCCTAACAAAGAGGTTTTTACAAAAACTTAAATTTAAGTTCGAAAATAAGTGATTTTGTGAAATCTGATATGCGTGCATTCATCTCCAGGCCATTACGCATCTAATGACGTATCATACATACCTTAAAATTGATCACCTATCGAGATATCCTCTGGACAGACATCCGGAAGTGGATGCAAAGTGGCACACACAGACACACACACACAGACACTATTTTTTTATATATAGTAGGATTTACGATAACATTTAATTAAATCAATTAAAAATAAAGATCATACCGTTCCAAAATTCCTGCGATAATAAACGTAATCAACCAAAAATTATATGCTTTTTCTAGGCACTACGACGCCACCTCCGGCCAATGCCAAACGTTCACCTACGGTGGATGCGGAGGAAATCTGAACCGCTTCGAGTCGCGCGACGAATGCCACAGGAGATGCTCATTCCTGCAGGGCGGACAACAACAACAACAACAGCAACAACCCCGAGGAGGACAGCAACCGCGTAAGTGTTGTTTGAACTTTTAAAGGGATAGTGGCAGGAAAAAATGGCTAATTCGCGCGCGGCAACTACCTCCTGTTCCCAATTTCACAATTTCAAAAGAATTGGTTACGATCATTTTGCAAATCATACATCCACATATTTATTAATAACGATGCGAATTATAGTATCGTCTAATACATGAATACCACACATTGGTGATAAAAATGTTCAGCGACTCTTCATGTCTTTTGAAACATTTTGATTTTTCGCCTACAGATTTTAGTGGGATCTTCACTCATAAAGATACATAGTTGAACGATATTTTTGATAACTATGCGAATTATAGCATCACCATTTTTTAATTACTTTTAATCAATTTACCTAGTTTTGTTCATATCGGAACGAAGGGTAACATTGTTAACATATGCAAAAACATTATCATGGATATTGAACATTTTTGAAACATTGGTTGTGGGCAGGCCAGTCTTTTTTTTATTAGCGGCAACAGTAGTCATAAAAATTGTACAGTAGAGCAAGATTCGTGATAGCAGAATGCAGTTTTTTAGAATTTATTTTAGAAAAATCGTATGCCAGTTTAAAGAACAGGCTTGTGGTTTGCGCAATTCCGTGATTCATAATAGGCTTGAAATTCATAAATTTGCCGCTTCCGAGGTTTATAAAAAAAAAATAATAATCTGCGAATTTCACTAACCTCAAATAGGCAGTGTAGACAACTGCTCATCAAGCACCAATCAGACTACCGTCAATTTGGCAAGAATTTTTCGAGCTTGGCATATTTAGGTGGGAAAAGCGTGTTTCGGTTACTTTTATGGGGTGCGAAATTGCGTAGTTAATAGTGGGAAGTCGGCATGCTTTTCGTAGTATCACCTTGAGAATTCGCCGTTGTACAAATATATCCCCGCTAATTTTTTTGTGTCTAAAAAGTGTTTCGAAAATATTACCAGTTGGGGCAGCACTGTGGATAATATTAAGTCCTCGGGTTACCATTCGATAAAACGCATCAAAATCCGGAATTTCAGTTTCCCTTCAACCCGCCGACCCGCGCGCCCAGCAGCCCCAGCAGCCAGCTCAACAGCCCGCGCAAAGTAAGTTTATTTTATGGGATTACCTGTACCTTTAAAATGTGTCTGAGCTACAGTACTTGTAACCAAAGTATTTGTATTTACAGTCTTTTTATCTACAGTCCTCGTCCTGAAAACTCCCCGCATTTTGTGTCGTTTTGGGGTGTGTTTTTCCAAATGTGTGTGTCTTGTCCATTTTTAGGGCCGCGGAATTTGGTGTGTTCCGTAAATCGTAGGCATCGTTGGCTTACGGAACCGATTAGTTATAGAATTCGTTTCAAGTAAAATACGAATAATTAGGGCACGTCGTGGTTTGGTGACGGTAGCACCGTTTTGGTGAATAGCAGTATTTCGGAATCTCCTATGGACCATTGGATCACTACTCTTGCTATAAACTGCAGATCAGGTTATTGTTTCGAAACATCATTTTTATCCAACTTATCAAAAAATAAGTAATTAATTAAGAGGCTTAATGTAAATATATAATATTTAAAAATACGCATTGATTTTCTCAAAATTTTTCTTTTCCATTTTTATCGCAATTTAGGAATTTAGAATTAAAATTTAGAATTTAATGGGTGCAGATCGAATAGCGGGGGGATAAAACAGCGATTTTCAAATTAATTCTCTGTTATAAAACATACCGTTAAAAATGGCGTTTTTCGGCCAGAAAAAATCTGTCCGTCGTTCCGGCCATTAAAAATACCTTAATCCCCTAGGGAACCATATTACGACACAACAACCCTCCGTCTCGGATGAACAACAACGACGAGCTGAAGATGAACAGCGACGAGCTGAAGAAGATCAGCGACGTGCCGAGGAAGAACAACGTGAAGCGCATCGCGCGCGCTGGGAGCAGGAGCGGCGACGACACCAAGAACGTCAACGACTTGAAGCAGCTCAGACGCCCGCGACTCGACCGCCGACGCAGCCGCGTCGAGACCCAGCCGTCGACCCCGAGCTGTTGACTGACGATCGGAAACTGGAGGTCAACGCCGCCGGCCGTCCCTACAAATCCTGTAAGCCACGCCTACTTGCGCGGCCCCGCCTCTACACCGCTTCGGATTGTCTGTCTCTATCTGGCTCTATGTTAATTTTTCGCTTTTTGCATGCTGTCACGCTCCCTTTAATTTTAGTGCTATTTTTCCTGTCTCTGGCGAAAACGGTTTCGGATGGGAGAGTATTTTGGGTAACAATTGGTAATTCCGAATCCGCTAAAAATTCTCTAATTCTGGCAGATACAATAACGTTATAGGATGTCGTCTATAACCCGAACAAATCAATATTTTTCGAAAAAAGTGTTTTTTGAAAGTCCGATTTCAAGACTAACAAGATGACGCGTTAATGGGCTACCGAGCGAAGATGCAAAATTATCATCAGTACATTTCCTTTCTATGAATTTCTCTGCATTTTAGAGGGTCTATAACAGACAAAATTCTGTAAGATAAAACGTTTATGTTGTTCATAACAACATAAAATATATCTGCCGGTTGATAGGTAGATAGTGAGCTAAGAGCAGGTCATAGAATTTTGAGGTTTTTAGAAAGCGAAATCGAGCACAAATATCATTCATAGAGCCGTTCTAACCAGCAATATTGTCGAAACACATCTTTTTGATAATTCTGAATTTTTGGAAAAAATATGCAAAAACTTTTTTCGGCTCGCCTAGATTTTTTATATAAATAGTGGAAGTGTTTCTAAATTGCTTAAAGCTATTCCTAAGCATACAAACTTTACAAAATTTAATTAAAAAATGACAAAATTTGTGACTTTTTCAAGCGTTTTTCTGGCGTTTTAAAAGTCTTTCCTATTAAAATAGGCTTAAATTTTGCTTAAAACAATGTGAAAACACTTTATATTTGATTACTATGCCCACCAGAGCAAACAGAAAAGAATAGGTTCCCTACTTGAGATACAAAACTATCACGGCTTTGCACATTCTAGTAGCGCGGATAAAAGAAACACAGTTTTCAAAAAAATGCATTTTAATAATAACATTTTTCCATGAACTTGAAACGTTCCTAGTCTAGTTAAGTATTTTACGACGTAGTAAATATTAATGCTATTAGTGGCATGACGGAGTAGAAATATTGTTAAACCCTAAGAAAGACCAATAAAAATGCCAAACTCCTCTTCCAAGCCAAGCATGCGCACGTTAAAAAGCATGTTCTATCCCCTCGTTGCTTCAAAACATGCCGTATTATCTTTAGTATGTTGAAAAAAGTGCGTTCTCAAAAAAATAGTAATACGCTTCCATACTAAAGCTAATACGGCATCTTTATTAAATATACCTATCCCTTCATTGGCATGTTCTCCGATTTTCAGCGTCTTCAACATCCGGAAAATCGCGTGAAGCCTGCCAACAGCCGGTAGCCTCCGGCAAATGCTCGGGCTCCTTCCAAATGTGGTACTACGAGCCTGGGACCGGCGCCTGCGAGCAGTTCTCGTACTCGGGCTGCGGAGGCAACAACAATCGCTTCAACTCCCGCGCGTCGTGCGAAGCGCTCTGTGTCGCGCGCGCTGATGATGCGCGTCGCCCGGCGGCTGGCCAGGAGGTCTACGTCGCCCCGGCTAATGGTAAATATCGAAAACATCATGAATTTTTTCATAAAGATTGACTGATTCAATCTGACTAATTAAAGCTGGGCAGAAAGCATTTCATAGTTTTCATCTTAAGTTTGTAAAGTTTCATGCGAAGATTTACCACTAATTGTTTCTCCTAGTCGTCTGCACTAATGGGAAAGACATGAAACATTGTTTTTTGGGGTTCACGCAATGCAACGGTTTATGTAACTCGACATAGTATTTTTGGATTCCCCCCTTAGATTAGCTAGAAAATTTTATTTTTACGGCGCCTCGGCTAAACGAAAAAAATAAAACGGTATTTTTCGGGTAAAGACCAGAACAAAATCAAGCGCAAGACTGAATTTAACTTTCTGAGTCAAAGCCACAAATTTGCTGAAACAATTAATTATCCGGCCGTTGCTAACGGTACACCCGTAAAGAAATAAAACATAAATTTTCTGGAAAGCCAAAATTCTGATAGAATATCTGGATTTTCTCCCAGTTTTTAAATTGCCGCAGACCTTTGATTTTTTTCACATCTCGGATGGTAATTCGATAAAAATTGTATTTAAACAATATCTATGTCGCGACGTCACGTAAAAATTGAGGAGAAAAAAGAGCAGTGAATGAATGCGCTCTAGGAGTTCTAGATTTCGTGTTTACCGAAACATTTCAATTTATTTATCCTAATTTTAGTTTTACTTCAATTTTAGTTCCAAGCCCAAATTTAATTTTTCGTAGCCTTTGCTACTACATAAGCGAGGCGTAGTGATCATGCGTGAATCGCAAAAATCAGCAATTTCTGCAAGCTAAGGCAAAAATTTTAGTGTTTCAAGGCAAGAGGAAAGTTGCGCTTTGTGGTAAAAAATTAATAGACGCAATAAATTAATAACTCACAAAATTTAGGACTTTTTAGGCTTATAACATGTGTTGGAACTAGATTTTGAGTTATTATCGATTAGACAATTTTCGATCAGACGATTTTCGATCAGGCGATTTTTCGATCAGTTGGCTGGGAATCCGTTTACCCAGCAGCAAAGCCTCCCGCGCATTTGAATTTTTTCTCCACTTTAGATACCTATTGAGCATTAAATTCTTGAGCAAAATTTTTGAAAAACGAAACCCCTAATACCACAATAAATATGCAAATTAAAAATTCTCGAAAACTATTAATCGGAAATCTTGACGTTTCAGCAAAAATTGACAAAACTGCTTTAAAGTTTTCAATTAATTTAGCCTTTAATCAAATCCTCAAGAATTAATTAGGTTTCAAAAACAGCCATACAATTAAAAATTGTGTTAAGAACTTTAATAAAACCATTTAAATAAATTTAAATAAAGCTAAATAGTGTTAATTTCATATGCAAATTTGCTGGCATGTGCCCGCTTTCATTCCCTCTGGCGCAAGCGAGAATGCCCTTCAAAAAAAGCATGCCTTCCCTCCTATTTTGCACGCTGGCTATCGTATATTTAGGGGCTATATAATTTTGTATAATTTGTGAACAGCCGTAAGTAACCCTGGTATTTTAGGGGGTGGTCCCGGCGCGAACTCGCTCTGCGACGAGAACAAGGAGACCGGCCCGTGCACCCAGTTCCAGACAAAGTGGTACTACAATAAGGCTGATGGCACTTGCAATCGGTATGTTAATTTTATCTATACAGGGTGTCCCAAAAAAAACCCCCCCTACCTAGCGGTCCGCAGTCGTTTCCGATTTTTACGATTTAGGTATCTATCGAAAGCTCCCGAAAAGGCGAGAAAACAAGGAGGGTTCATTTTCTTTATTATGCATTTTTATTCGCTAATTTTACGTCCAAAAACCATGAAAACTGCTAATTTGTGCAGGATCTGCATGCTAATTGCAAATTCCTGTTGAAAAAGTACCAGTTTTTTTAGAAAAACCTTAAATATCGATGGAATTAGATTAAATCTTAGAAAACGAGACCCGCTTGTTTTCTCGCCTTTTCGAGAGCTATCGATGGGTAGTTAAATCATAAAAATCGGACTTGACTGCGGACCGCTAGGTAGGGGGGGTTTTTTTTTGGGACACCCTGTACACTTGTTAATTCTTGTAAAATATCAGCTTCTTATCAATCACAATAACTTTTAAAAACAGGAAAGTTCTTGTAACAATCACAATAAATAAAAATTTAATTTCCAGATTTCACTACGGTGGCTGCGAGGGAACCGGCAACCGCTTCGACACCGAGCAGACGTGCAAGGCCGCTTGTGAACAGCATCAAGGTAACATTTTTCGAACTAAATAATGAAATCATTTTTAAATGTTTCCGACGCTATAAACCCAGTGACTACTCGTCTTAAATCAATATATTATATCGGATGCTAATTATTATATTAAGCAACATTAATGCTCATAAAATTCAATTAAAAAGCAGAAATTTTCAATAAAAATTAATGAAGGATCTAAGGATTATGATTTTCAAATGTTACTCCTGGTATTAATATACATTATTTGCCTTTTAATTTGGGATATTTTTCGACATATTATATATTCTCTTAATCGGCGGCAAAAGGAATATTAATGGGGGAGAGTTCTGATGGATAATTGCAAAACTGAATAATGCAGAAATTCAATGTTTCGGTTATTATTGCATACAAATTTTAGTAAAAGCGATTAATTCTGTTTTTCGGTTCGTTTAATTATTTTTTAAGAAAAATTAAGGGAAGACTTAGGGTTAGTATTTTGAAATTAATCAACATTTGATCTACATTGTTTTTAAATTAGGGAGATATCTTCTTTATCTTGAATTGTGTTAATCGGAATAAAAATCGATAAAATTTATTTCTTTTTCAACCGTAATTAGGGATAGTGAGTAGTATTCTTATACTGTATGAATTGTATTAATATTATATTAATGGAATTTTAGTTTAATTAATCTATACAACATTTGCTATTTTTGTATTTTCAGACCCTTGCCAATTGCCGAAGGTGCAGGGCCCGTGCTCGGGCAAGCAGAAGAACTTCTTCTTCAACACGCACACCCGCCAGTGCGAGGAGTTCGTCTACGGCGGATGTCTTGGAAACACCAACCGGTGAGAGATTTTTGGAAATTATGCGATTACATTTCGCCACAAGCACAACAAGAATATTGCCAATCGAAAAACTCTTTTCATAAACATGTTTCGGAAACGACTTGTACTAAAAATTTTCTGCATCGCCTGATCGGCAGTGCTTCAATACCATAATTCGGTGGACTTTCAGAATCTCTAAATTTCAGAATCTCTAAATTTCAGAATCTCTAAAATTTCAGAATCTCTAAATTTCAGAATCTCTAAAAATCAGAATCTCTAAAAATCAGAATCTCTAAATGTCAGAATCTCTAAATGTCGGAATCTCTAAATTTCGGAATCTCTAAATTTCTTTGTACAGGAGCCCATACAGAGTTTGGCGGAAATTGAAACTGTAATGCGCTTTTACCCAAAGACGCCTCTGAAAACTTTTTCAGGGGTAGTTTTTTGTGCTAATCACGAAAAACGTAGATGCATTTCCATAGTGCGATTTTTCCGTGCTTGGTTACAACTGTTGTCTTCAAAGCCCAAAACTTGGTTTTGCTATAAGCAATTCATTTTGAATTTTTGTGATTCGTGGTTACGTTTTTTGTGATCAGGGCAAAAAACTACCCCAAAAAAAGTTTTCACAGGCGACGTATGGCTTCCTGAACAAAAAAATTTAGAGATTCCGATTTTTAGAGATTCCGATTTTTAGAGATTCCGAAATTTAGAGATTCTGAAATTTAGAGACTCTGAAATTTAGAGATTCTGAAATTTAGAGATTCTGAAATTTAGAGATTCTGAAATTTAGAGATGCTGAAATTTAGAGATTCCGAAATTTGGAGATTCTGAAATTTAGAGATTCTGAAATTTAGAGATTCTGAAATTTAGAGATTCTGAAATTTAGAGATTCTGATAGGGCGGCCCATAATTCATACTTTGAATCTTCATTATAAAACCAATAAACTACTACAAAATTAAAATAGCTACTCAATCACAGAGAATTTCTTACTTTAACCAGTTTTTCGGTGATCCAAAAACTGGCTCCAACTAGGCCTTTTTCATACTTGTATCTTCTTACTTTGACATGCCTCAAGAACTCCAGTCGGCATAATAGCTTTAGAAAAAATTAATTTCCTTTCAAATCCAAAAACCAGACTATCAAAAACGTTCAAAACTATGTTTCATAAAAAGTCCACAATCAAAAATTTGCTTTTATGACAATACCTCTAGAGCATTATGGAATCATAAATTTTTCTTTATTTTAACCAAAAATTTAGCGCCACCGTGAATTATTAATGCACCTACCGGACCGTAAATTGAATTAAATTTCAAACGAAAACTTTGATTTATTGAGTTACCAAATGGTCCGAAGTGAAGGCTTGCTTTTGTTAACGCATCGAAATACCGTATAAAATAGAGTAAAATATTAAAATAGAGTTTGGGAAATTATTTTAGTTAATTACGCTTTATGGCATAGAAAAGGGTTATTTTGCTTATATTAAAACTGAAGAAGGGTTTATGAGGTCTTGCCACAAATTTGAAAAATCTATGTTTCATGGCACAAACTCAAGAAATTCAGCAGGCGTTGGATAATGCTTGATTAAAAGTAAGGTAAAAATATTCATTGATTTTCCGCTAGTAAAATATAGCCGAATTCTGCTAATTTTCAATATTTCTAATTAAAATTATGTTTTTGCAGATTCGCGCAGCTGGAGGAATGCCAGGCCCGTTGCGGTGGACGTAAGTAAAAAAACAACTTCAATTTCTATACGATTTATTAATTTCAAAATGAGACTCGCTTTGCTCGCAAAATAATGTTGATTTTATGAAGTCCTTTAAACCTCACTTGCTAGCCCATTTTTGTATTATTAAATTCCTGTTGTCCACCCCTATTTGTTGCCCCCCAAATCGAGGATCCTCGCTGCCGAAATAATGGATAACTACTGCCCCCACCCCGCGCCGAAACGTCGATACCGTAACCTGCCGTAACGTAACGTAAGCTAAAATAACTTTATTTTTGGTCCCTACGAGTCCTCTCAAGCCGCCAACATTTTTTTCGGAATTTGGAAGGATTTTCATGTTTTTTTGGAGATGGGTACCTTGTTTGGAAAAAGAAATTAAGTCTGATTTTCCGAGATTCCTGAGTTAAGAAGCAGAAACATATTTTTCAAATAAGAAAAAAATAATGTTTCATGGAATTTCCTTCTTTTACGCTCTTTCCGAGAATTATTACGGCGAGTTTTCTAGTGAATTGTGAAACAAAAATAAATTTTGAAGTTTCAGCTTATTGGTTTTTCTCGAAAAATGACTGTTTCAAAAAAAAAAACCTCGCACATCGATATTTAATGAGTTTATCAAATTTCATCAATGCCGACAATTCAATTTTTCAAACTACCGTACCCACGCTCCAAAAATAGCAAAAATTCTTTAAATTTCAAAAATCCCCGCTCTTGCCAACCCCTTAAAAATGCCGATCCCCCCTCTCTGCCACCCCTCCCACTCCAGCGGACTGCCGATTTCTACGAAATTGTGATTTTCCGGATTTTCTCCGCCTCGTTGTTCCTCTTTTCCCGAATCGTTTCGTATGCTAATTAAGTCGATTTTGCGTAATAAATTCCGAATTTTACGAACCCCCGCGGTTTTCGTTCCCTGAAAATACACCGAATCCCACATTACTTATTTTTTTTGTTTGCTTGTGTGATTGTTGTGTGCCATTTTTGTTTACTAATTATAACACGATGGAACCTGAGAAGTAATTATAAGAAAGAAAAAATTAAAGTTTTGAAAATTTTGGAAACGTTGCGTTTTTACCTTAATTTTTTAACAAGGTGTGTATCTATTTGTATCCCCTAACCTTATTAACCTTTGTTGCGTGCCATTTTGCTTTAATTACGCTGAGCTTTATTTTATTTCTTCGAAAGACAACACCTATTAAAATTTAAAAAGTTTTGTTGATTTTGAAAATTTTTGAAACTTTGTTTTTCTCTCCGATTCTTCCAATGAAGGATCCTAACAATATGCCATGACTTTTATGTGCCCCTAGCATCCTTTATGCAGCTTTTGTGTGACATGTGTTGCGAACACCTATTAAAACCCAAACAATTTTTTGCCTTTTAAAAATTTTTGGAAACATCGTTTTTTCGGACGTTTCCTATGATAACCTTAACTTTCGTGTGCTCCTAATATTATTTACTCCGCTTCTGAGTGATTTTCATTTACCAATTATTACACCAGGCTGTCTGTTTGGATTAATGCATACAAAAAGTTCCGAGTTTTGTAATATTTTGAAACATTCAGTTTTTTAATAACCACCTCGATAACACGATTGTCTGATAGTGTTGGTCTCCTATATGCAGGACCTGTTTTGGTGTGTCTCTAATATTTTTGTAGCTTGTATTATGTTTCTGACATTTTAGTTCATTTAACCATTTATTTTTATTATTTATTTTTCGTCTGCTTTTATTTTTTGAATTTTTGCAATTTTATTTGAGTCTTAAGCAGGGTTGTTCACGGACGGGCTCGGACGGACGCGGGCCCGGACCCGTCCGCGTCCGAATAATTTGCTCCGGCAGAGCGGACGGGCTGGGACGGGTCCGGGATGGGCCGGACGGGCTCGGACGCAGGAAGTAGCCGAGCCCGCTATGCAAAGCGCGGGTAGCTAAAACTAGCATGGTAATTGATAAAATGACGGTTTTTCGCGTTCTTTCCGAAGTAAAGCAGATATCTAAATCAAGAAAAGGCAACAATCGAGCTAAGATGTTAATTTGCTTGCAATGATTTTGCCTGTGCTTTCGGTCATTTGCATCGCGGACGCGCGGACGCCCCAGCCCGCACTGCGTCCGTCCGGCCCGTCCGGGACCCGTCCCAGCCCGTCCGCATTTTTTATGCAAATTGCGCGGACGGGACGGGTCCGCGTCCCGGGCCGGACGGACCCGGACCGGACCCAAAATGAACAACCCTGGTTTTAAGGGATCGCCAAGGCCGTAGATTTTTTGATTATCGTGGATTTTTTTTGAGCCGAAAGCGCAGCGCCCATCCAAGATCTTACCTTGCCCGTCCCTTTAACGAGTTAAATCCCTAATCGTGATTTTTGTGTTGTGTGGTTCATTTCTTCGTGGATATCGACAATTAGGTTGCCGCGGATACCTAAAACAATCTTTTTCAATTCTAGCGAGTTTTGAAACATCACTTTGTTACCCGGAATTTTTCCTTATTGATTGGCACGAATTTTGCGTCTTTGAAACTTATTACCGTACGGTTGTCTTTCTCATATTTTTATTTTTGCAAGCTTTTTCCATTTTGTTTATTTAACCCCAACTTTCGTGCTTGGTTTAATTTAATGTGATTCTAATTTCTGCGTGCTTGGATGGCTTTTTATGTTTTTAATCACACAGCAGCTCCATTTCTAGTTCTGATTAACTTAACTCTAATTTGATTTACTAAGGATCGGACCTAAACTTCTTCAAATATAGTGCCGAGGTACCTGATAATCTTGGCTAGTAAAAGTGACGAAACTCTTTACTTTAACGCGCGGGGTAATAGCGTTTTCCAGCGGTTATTTCATTCTGAAGAGTTTAATTACAGGTAGTGAACGCGCTTAGAACTATAATTATTAATAAATTTATTTAATTCAAGAAACGAGCAAATTTGACGTTTCTTCGTCTCAATCTTAAATGGAGAATATCACCTTATTGCGAAAAAATGGAATTTTGTTGTATCGTTCGCTGTCGCTCTGGGGATTTTTGGCTGCAATTCTACAAATATTACCGCCAAAAAACAATGACGAGATCAAATATTCTTTACTCTGCTAATAGCCATGATAAAAAACTTCAAAAAAGTGTCAGAGTTTAAAATGTGAAATTTAAAATGTTTCTTCTCACATGTGGGTTGTAAGCTTTTTAGCCGACTGTAATTGGAGACACAAGCGTGCTTTCAAAACAAATATTTTTTCTGGTTTATTTTTGCCATGGCTTTAATTTTAGTCTTTATGTTTCAGCTGCGCCAGCGCCCGCCGCGCCGCGCCGTCACCACGGAATCGCTGCCTTTATGCCTGTCAAACCCGAGCACCCTCAAGTAAGTTAAAATATTCATAAGTTTAACGATTTAATGAAACCAAATTGTGGTAAATAAAAATAACAAACATATGGCGGGCGGTGGTAGTAACGATATTCTATTAAATTTACAGATGTACCATTATTTTCACCATGCCGATTGTTTTTGATCCGAAATGTTTATCTCAAGCAGTTTCATTTTGAAAAAAAACATGTTTAACAAAAAAACGGAACCCCTGTGGCTCTCGAATCAATTAATGTGCGTAGGATCTGAGATCTGAGATACTATACAGGGTTTTCCAATAAAAACACACCCCCCTTCCAACTCGACACAGAAGTATCGGATGGGAATGACACCATTCGAAAGCCCTTGAAACGGCCAGTTTGCAATAATTTTCGAAACCATTTTTTATTTAAGCCCGCCATTTTACAACGCATTCAAAAAAATTAAGGAACGGCCTCCGCATCTAATTAACGGCTACTTCCGGTCATTTTGTATGGATAATCTTAGGCAAATTGGCTCGTATGCAGCGCCAAACTTTACAAAATGGCTTGTAAAACGGCGGGTTTAAACAAAGACATGGTTTTGAAAGCTGTTGCAAACTCGCCACTCCAAGGGCTTTTGAATGGTGTAACGATCCGTCCGTTCCGATACTTCTGCGTCGGGTTAGAGGCGGTGTTTTTTATTGGGACACCCTGTATAACGTATAATAGGATTCAAGTGTGTAGGTAACAAAATATCTGAATACTTTTCCTGTATTTTCAACTGTTTTATAAAAGGAAAATTTTTTGATCAGAGCTTCAGGAAATCAATATCTAAAGGCTCCTTGTGGAAAAAATATGTTTCAAAAAAATTAGACATTGAAGTATTATAATAGTCATTGGATCTCTGCTTTGCGCGAACAAGCTGGGATAACGGTGTGAACAAAAATTATCAAACCTCGTTCCTTACCTTGAGATTTTTATGAACTCAATAAAAGAGTTTTTGAGAGACGGGAATCACCAAAATTATCAATAGCAGTAACTGAGTTTGCAAGGAAATATGCTTCATAAAATAGAACGCTAGCAATTATTTCCGAGCCCCTTAAGCCACGGTACAATGCGATCGAGCTCCAGCCTAAAAGAAGGAGAATAATTCAACCGAGTTGCTGCACTTGTAGATTTTTAAATCAATGTTGGCATTTTATATAGGGCCCGCTTCATGAACATTGCCAATATCAACCTTCAACATTCTCAAGAAAATATGTTTAGCAAAAAATGGAGCCCGTACCATTCCCGAGTTCATTAATGACTCCGGTCGAGGATCGATATCTTAAAAACGAGTTGGTTTGATTTGAAAATTAACAAGCTTTGCCATATTTGCTATTTTTTGAGACAATGGCATATCTATAATTTTTGATGGAGCTCGTATCAGACGCTATAAAATCATTAGATCGGTCATTCGCATTCTCAAAAAAATATGTTGGGCACAAAATAGGATCCGGGACATTCTGCGGTCTGTTAATAAAGGGAAGCACAATTGTTCTTTGGAGCGCAATTTCCCAAAACGTTAACAACCAGCAAAAAATATCTTTAGTGAAATTTCTCACACAGTCGATATTAATGAATTAAATTATAAAATTATTCAGTTCCTACGACTCGCCCCACCGCAACAAGCCGATAATCTGCAGCCTCAAAAATGCCATCTAGCGCCGCAAGCCGGGCAAAAGTGCAGGTACAAATCAGCATGATAATTTCCGTTATAAAATAAATATATTACAGTACGATCAGGTAATAAAGGATCAAACTGGAATTTTCGAAAGCGAAAACTAAGTTAAGAACAACTACCTATTATGTGACATTCTCCGGTCAACATCACCTGTTTTTTCAAAACATAGTTTTACAGCTTAAGGTTGTTCCAGCTTTTCACAAACAATCTCTGCCCGTTCTCAATAAAGGGATGTTCAAGCGGCGGGGGATCTATATATTGAAGCCTTGAACACTCCTTTAAATATCAAGGATTTGGTACTGTGCGGTTAGTGAGGGGGGGGGGGGTTAGCAGAGGGACACTAATTTTCACTTCTCCTTCTATACCTACTTGTTAAAAAATAAATCGTGTATTTCTATAACGTTTTTTTTTTGTTGTTTTTGATTGCTAAAAACTTACAAAAAAATTCGAACATTTTTATTTGAAAATTTTAGCTTTATTTATGAATTTTTATATCTAAAACCGGTGTCAAATGCTGTGAAAACGGTTTACATTTTGTAAAAAAAATTTTTCCCAGCTAGCGCCATGGATTTTCGAATCCCGATAAAATGCTTAGAAAATGCTATGTTTCATCTAATCTATATAAGGCAAAATTTTTGGTCGGAACATGGGGCATTCAGCTGGAACATTTCTTTGACCAGGCTTTCGTAAGTTCTAAATTTCAGGGAAGCCGAAACGATGTGGTATTTTGACGCGGCCACGCAGAGATGCCTCCAATTCTTCTACGGTGGTTGTGGCGGAAATGAGAATCGCTTCGTCACCCACGATGAATGCCAGAATGAATGCGCTCCCGTGCAGCATCAGGTTTATTTATTTCAAGGAGGCAGGAGTCACGTAAAAATATCTATAAAATATAGCCAGCCATTTTAAATACAGTAATCAAGGTCTCAAGGAACCACCTTAGGCGTCAAAACAAAAATTTGCAGCAAATGTAATTTTAAAAATTTGTGGTTTTTAACTTTAGCATTGTCAAATTTCCCTTACCACTAGGTAATTTCTCGTACTCAAAAAGTCGCTTCTTTTCTAATTTTTCGAATTTTCAGAGTCATTTGGCTTTTTTACTTCGATCACCATTATCCATAAAATTTGCTTTTTCTTTTCGTGAAATACTTTTTTTGGCAGTTTCTAAACCCTGTGACGGTATGAAAACGGCATGGTCGAAAAATGCATCGGCATTTCGCATTTTCTTGAATGGATCTTGTTTTTCAGAATAAAGATACAGGGTGTCCCAAAAAAAAACCCCCCCTCGGCATTTGGCCGTCTTCCATCCAATCGGGACCAAATTTTTACCAGTGATGGGGACCCATAAAAACTATGTGCAGCCAAATTTTCTAAGCAAAATATTGTAAAACCAAAAAGTTATCGTTAAAAAACTGATTTTTGGAAAACTCTGGTACTCGTTTTTGGCTATGTTTTCGCAATTAGCATGCGGATTTTGAGTAATTTTCCAAAAAATCGTCATTTTTCGGTCAGTTTCTGGCAATTTCGATAATAAAAAGTGATCGAAAGGCCCGATTTAAACGTAATTTTCGTAAATCAAAAAAATTTCTACAGGTAGAAAAGAGCGCCCTCTTCATTTTTGCTAAACATTTCGAGGCCGAAATCCGTCAAAATCCTAGTGAAATTGGCAAAATTGACCTTAATTTTGATATAACTTCTTTGTTTTACAATATTTTGCTTAGAAAATTCGGCTGCACATAGTTTATATGGGTCCCCATCACTGGTAAAAATTTGGTCCCGATTGGATGGAAGACGGCCAAATGCCGAGGGGGGGTTTTTTTTTGGGACACCCTGTAGATGTAAAATATAAATTTTTTATCCAGTTGCCACCATAAATTTTTTTGCTCGAGTTTCTAGCCCTTTTCCTAGAAAGAATTAGCATGTTTCATGTCATTAAGTGCACCCTGGTTGGTTGAAAAATCCATTAAACGCTTGAAAACTGCGAATATATAATTTGCCAAAAAATCACCGAATTCAGGCGCTGACGATGCGTGCCGAATCTTCGGTTGATGAACTCGGAAATGCTGAACAGGCCGGTGAAGTTGAGGCAGAGCGAATGCAAGGAGATCAACCGAGACGACTACGCGATGATACGGACGACGCAGAGGAGTCACGATTTCGCGGATCCAATAGAACGGTAGATGTACAGGTGCGGATCGGGTTTTTCGTTGTCACCATGAAGTACAATAAAACAAAAGTAGACATTCAAAGCCGCAATTTTCAAAAATATCTTTGGATTGGAGAATTAATAATCTCTCGACATTTGCACAAGGAGTCAATCCCAAAATCAGATCGTATTTTTTTTGAAAAAAACTTTGCAAAACCAAGTTTCATCGAAGTGCTGGCTTCCAGGCATTTCAAACATCGTAGTGTAAACTTCCGTCCATGCGTTGTAAAATAACTAATCCTACCCCGGCTTCCACCTCTGCAAGAGCCCTTGACACACTAATATGATTTTTTATTATAAAAAGTGCAGCATTAATTATATGCCTGTTCGCGAAAGACGTCATTTTTAAAACAAAGCTTTGAAAAAGCAGGTTTCATCAAAAGTATTGGCTTGGTGGGGTGACAAACACCCAGTAGCCCCGCTGACTGTAACCGTTTTTTGTTGACCGTGGGATTTCAATACGTGAGATAGCACATTTTGTGCAGAATTTTTTGCTGATTCCGAATCCGTTTTCAAAAGTTGCGGAATCCCTCTAGATAAAAAGTTACAGCCGATTTTCTACCCCAAATGACCGAAAATTACAAACTTTAAATCCTTATAAAAAACTCGTGGAACATTTTGTGGGATAAAATACAGCACTCCTGGGGGTAAAAAACGTGCTCTTTCGAATGGGCTACCTCACGAACCCGTAGCTCAAAATTCACAAAATTTCACATTCCACCGAAAAACTTTTTTTCATGAATTTTGAGCTACGGGTTCGTGAGGTAGCCCATTCGAAAGAGCACGTTTTTTACCCCCTAGGAGTGCTGTATTTTATCCCACAAAATGTTCCACGAGTTCTTTATAAGGATTTAAAGTTTGTAATTTTCGGTCATTTGGGGTAGAAAACCTACCGTAACTTTTTATCTAGAAGGGTTCCGCAACTTTTGACCCCGGATTCGGAATCAGCGAAAAATTCTGCACAAAATGTGCTATCTCACGTATCGAAATCCCACGGTCAGCAAAAAACGGTTACAGTGAGTGGTCTCATAATTTAACTGGCCCGGAGTTCGGTGTCAATCTCTAAAACGTTATTTAATAAATTTACGTCTGCACCAAAGAGGATAAAATCTGATTTCTCTTGACGTCGAAAAAGCGCATGCGGCGACTTTAATTCTACGCCTCGTCTCGAAAGTAGCATCGTATTTTTCAGAAGATAGGGAAACATTGGGCGCACAAAATCGAATTATTTCTATTTTTACTTTGCTAATGTCTACAAATAATATCTATTTTTCTCTCTTTAATTACGATATTCCGAAGCCTAGCCGAAGCACTTTGTTACAAAATAGCAAAAGTGTGTTTTGAAACAGCAGGTTTATGCAAAGCACTTTGAAAACGCAATATGCAACGGAATAAAGCAAAAGTTGATTTTTTTGACGCCCAAAAAATGTTTCGGCTATTGGTGATGTGGTCTGCATAACGGGGATTAATTCCTTCGAAGTCTTCTGGCATTTCCAAAAGCGTCTTTTCTGAAACACGCCAATTTCAGGATGTGGCCACGGTTGTGCCGGTCGGTGCTTTGCCCGATTTGTGTTTGTTGCCGGAACAGAAGGGATCGTGCTTTGGCAGCGAGTTGAAGTGGCGGTAAATATTTTATAGGTTTTACTTAATTGCTTAAGTTTATGCATATTTGCTTGCATAATTCCTTACTAGCTGCACTCGCAAAAATAAATGATCAAATTCTAGGTTTCTAGAATCAATTCAAAACCAGGGTTGAAAAACCGCTTCGCGGCTTTTCAACCCTGGCCCCGTCTAAACCACATGGTAGTCAAAAATATGCATATTCTTCCAGGACCTTGATCGCAAAAAAATGAAAAGAACCCCTTCCGCGCCCTTATATAGGCTTACCCCACTTCCGGCGCATGCAAATTACCTCCTAACAAAGAGGTTTCTTGATATCTTTACAAAAAATCAATTTTAATAGCGAAAACAGTAATTTTTCCAAACTTTTATGTGTGTGCACTCATCTCGGCGCCATTACGCATCTAATGACGCATCATACGACCCTTAAAAACCCTTTCCCGAGGCTGTAGGAGCGGAACATCCTAACGGAAGTGCATGCAAATATACACACACACACACACACACACTATTTTTTTTATATATAGTAGGATCTAGATTTTCAAAGTTATGTTGCGAATTCATGCCTGTTGAATTAAAGGACTATTTCGTTATTCAATTGTTTTCATTGTCTTCAATTCCACAAAGTTGACTAGCAATCGGCGTTGTTCAGAGGATAACCAGCTTCAAAAAAGCTAGCAGAGGTCATTTAGGAATTATCTACCTGAAAAATAGGGGCAAAGGTGGTGTCGAAAAGTAAATCACGAAATTAAGCTGGCCCAGCTCGAGTGGGGAAGAAGTTTTTTATGAAACCAGTTGTCTATTTTGCCAAGCTTCTCGTTACAAGCGTAAAGCTTTGTCTTGACTGTCATTGTGATGAATAATTTTTTGGCATATTGTATTTTTACTTGCGACAATTAACGTTGGCCAACATTATTATTGAAAAAAACTGGAAATATATGATTTTTTTGACGAAACCCACGGAATTTCAGCGTCAAATCATATGTTTTATTGATTTTATTGGTTCATACGCTGTATGCTTTTTAATTTTTAGCTATATTGCTGAAACGGCGAGCTGCTTGAGCTTTATGTACACAGGATGTGATGCGAATGCTAATCATTTCGAGTCTGAGGTAAGACAGAATGTTTCGACAATAACAACAGCTATATATTTTCTTCTTTTTTATGGTTTCATGGATCCTTCAGACGTTCCATCAAAGACTAAATTTTGTTTTAAGCTTCTTAGGATCAACTTTTTTCGTAGAGCCGAATGCTCCAATGCAAGCAGCACAAGTTTTTACTAACCTGAACGTAAAACGCCGCAAATTTTATTAAAAACACCAAGAATATCGGATTTTCGACCAAAAATCGACGATTATTGGGCCTGAATTCCGAATCGAAAATATGTTTTTAGGTAATGATAGTTTTTTCGTTGAAATATAGTTCTGTTTAACTAAAAACTCTAATAAAACACTTCCTATTGCAATACTAAGTATTTCTAGACTTTCAAAAAGCCAGTCCCCTCCCCCCCCCCCCGATAATAGGAAAGAGCCCAAAGTTGGGGGGCGATTCATTTGTCACGGTTTCATCATTTTCTACTGATTTTAGAAAATTATAAATTCGCAAAAAACGGGGTTGGACTTTTCGAAATTAAATGTTTCGCCTAGGTGTAATTCCGAATTTTTGCTTTCCGGTTTAATAGCGCCCCGATATGGAAAAATTTCAGGAATCCTGCCTACGCGCCTGCGGCCCCGCGCGCGAAGAGAAGGTCTGCGCGCTTCCGGCTTCGGTTGGAAGTTGCGAGCTGGCCGTGTCGAAGTGGAATTTCGACGCGAAGACCGGGGAGTGCAAATTGTTCATGTGGACCGGATGTGGGGGAAATTTGAATCGGTAGGCCACAGCTTTTTTAAGATATTGACCAGGGTTGAAAAGCCGCTACGCGACTTTTCACCCCTGGCCTTTGCGCGGGGATCTTTAAAAGTTGGGCTTTGCATAATTCGGGCGAAGAACCCTAAAAAATAGCAAAAGCAACCGGCCGCGAGCGCGACAAAAGCCAAAATGAGGCTCCTAGCGCCGCGTATGTAAATTAGTCTATTTCCATATGTTTATAAAACGTTAAAATAAGGTATAAAACGACATTTTAGTAAAAATATGATAAGCGTGCAGTAATCTACGACCTCGACTACCCCTAACTACCTTATTTCTGGACCAAAAAATTCTTTCCCCTTCGAGTTATGGCTGGAACTCGGGTTTTTATGCAAAGTGTCTACACACACACAGACACTATTTTTTTATATATAGTAGGATTGATAAAGTATACCACAAAATTTTTTTGATAGAAACCAGGGTTGAAAAGCCGCTTCGCGACTTTTGAACCCTGGCCCTGTCTGATCTCATGATATACCTGACTTTGCATAATTCTTGGACTTTCTGTGAAAAAAAATGAAAATCCCGCTTTCTACCCCATTATATAGGCCACCGGAACTTCCGGCACATGCTAATTTTTTCCTAACAAAGAAGGTCGTCGATTTTTTAACAAAAACCTAAATTTAATGTCGAAAATAGGCAATTTTGATAAATCTAGTGTGCGTGCAGTCATCTCAGAGCCATTACGCACCTAATGACGTGTCATACATACCATAAAATTCATTCCCTATCAAGATATCCTCCGGACACCCTGACGGAAGTTGCATGCAAAGTGTCACACACACACACACAAACACTATTTTTTTATATATAGTAGGATCCTTGTTTAAGATAGCTTAAATCAAACTAAAATATGTTGAAACGATAAATAGAAATAAAAGTAATTTAATGAACGGAATTTAGCGTCGATGCATGAATATTTCAAAAAAAAAATTTACTTTGGAAAAATACATGAAACACTTTTTGGGTAAGTAGAAAAATGGGAGAGATCTGGCCTTTTTAAAATAGCTTCAACTTAATTTGCTTTTAGATTAAACTCCTGTTTTAGAAAATAATGTATTGTAAATATGAAACTTTTATGCAGCAGATTCCAGTAAAAATTGGGGTTCAATGGTCTATTAAAAGTTATTAAATAGGAAAAGCTGAATTAAGGAGTTTTTTTTTATCAAGTCTTGTTAAATAGCTTTAATTTAACTAAGATTGGGATTAAAGACACAAATCCACAATCCAATAATGTTTTAGAAAAATGTGTTTGCAAATATTTAGGCTTGATGGGGTTGGTAACACTAACAATTTCGATAAGGATAGTCGTACAGTCTGGAGCTAAAATTGTGGAACGCTCAAAATTGATTTCTTGAAGATGCATTAAGATTACATATTTTTAATAGTTTTTAGTATCTTTAAATATTACCTTCAAAGGGATTTGGAAGCACGAATTTGGTCGTGGCGCACACTTCAGTTTATTGAATTATGATGTATCTTTGCTATAGACATCGACTGCAAAACATTTTAATTTCAAGCACTAATTTTTACGGAACTTTTACAGTGTTTCGGGGTTCGGGGTAAAAACGGATTGAAATGGCCGAAGAGCTGTTGGATTGTTTTAAAAAACGGGCAAAATATGATTGGTTTTAATATCTATTTTAATAATAGTTAGTAAACATATAGGTCTATTTTGTGATTGATATGTATCAACGAAAAAAAGAAGTATCGCCTTCATGTTTACAAAAAAACACATGGAGGCTAAAATTAAGTTTCTCATTACGGAACGTGTCAGAGCATCTTACAACTTTTTTACTTTTCGAGGCGCTTCAATTGTCGCGTTGCGTTGAAAAACCCTAAAACGAACGAAAAAACGATTTAACGTAAAGGTGTTTCGGGGGAGTTCGGTGTAGAAACAGACCGAAACAACGCAATCGGTGTTCGGTGGTCACTTGATACGAAAAGAAGGTGCGAACTATAAGTAGTTGCAGTTAATATTAAACGCTTTTGTCTAAAAAACATCTGGTTCCGTTTTGTGAATGATATGTTTCAATGAAAAAAAGGAGGGACCAGCCGCGGCTATGTATTAATTACAAAGGATTGATGAACGCCAAAAAATTTATAAAAATTTATAAATTTTTAAAAATTAACTGCTTGTATCGATCGAATTAAAGCTATAAATTAATAAAATGGGCGTAGAGGCTAAAAAATGGCAAGAACACTAAAATACTAAAACACCCAGTGTTTCAAGATTGGTCGGTGCGAAAATGGATTCGGCGTAATTCGATTCACTCATCCTACCCTATAAGCGAGAAAAGTATGTGTGTTTTCTGTACGGCCGTTTTCTCGGCCGTCAGGCCGAATTTCGAGCTGATTTTTGGCATGGGGGTGGGAAATGCCATTTATAAAAAACGGTTTTTTGGATTTTTCGAAATTCTGCGATTTAACGATTTTACAAGCAAAAATGTGAAAAATCCTTAACATTTTTGGGTGTGCACGTTGTCCGGAACTTTTCTCGGCCCCTAGAGGGAATGGGGCCCTCGATTTTTGAGGGTAAGTGGCAAAAGTAATTCCCCAGATACATTTTTTCGGATTTTGCAAAATTCTTTAAAATAAAGTTTTTATGAGCATTTTTTTGAAAATTCCTTAACAAAATGGGCCAAGGGTCGTGGTGTCCGGGACATAACTCGAAGCCCTGATGGAATTCCGGGTTGAAATTTGGACCATTTATGCAATTAAGGATGGGGATCATGCGCAAGTAGTTAGTTTTTGAAAATATTGTAATTTCGTTGCATACGATGCAAATTTGTTAAATTGGTTTTTGCCTGCTCCTCGGGCTCAAACTTGAGTCATTGGCAGACTGAAAAGATAGAGCTGAATGTGCTAAATCTTTCCCTTTTTAAATTTTTAAATTTGGTTGAATTTCTGGGGCGATAGAGCCGTTTTTGTTTCGGAGAGGGCCGCCCTTTTGGGGCGCCTGGGGAGTACCCCTCTGTGTCCCCAGCCCGTCCCGACTCGCCCCCCACCTAACCCACTCCCAGGTGATAACCCCCAAGGTTTTCGAGCGCTGCCGGGTGGCTGGCCGAAAGGTTAACACTGAACAGCCACCTTCCTAGAGCGCCCCAGCAATGGGTGACGAATTTTTGGCCGCTACGCTCAAGGGGGAGTCGTCCTCCGATGGCCATACAAATTTAAACGCTCGCTCCCTTGGGACGCCGAGGGGTTCAGCTTGCCTGTTGCTGGACAAGCCAGACCCGGAAGGGATGGTTCGGCCTGACGGTCGTAATGTCGGTCCTGTTGGCACCAGTACCGATCTGCCGGACCCGGTAAGGGTGTCGGAAACAGCTGAGCCTCAGCAGGGTACGAAGAACAGAGGGCCTGCCGATTGGACCCGAAGAGGTAGCAATACCGAGGTTCAATTGGCTGGGCGAGTAGCGGCACCCTCCAGCTGTTTTCCGGGACAACACCCCGCGGCCTATCCTCAAACACCGCGGCATCCTATGCAGATCGTGAAAATGCCTTCCGTGCCGAATACCAGCAGTAACTCGACCGGTACACTCCATACGGGAAAGAAGCTGTCTGACTCGGGATTTTTCGTTCCGAACCCGTGGCAAACGCTGGGCCCTGATTCTTCGAAGCTGTGGGTGCCTCGACAGCAGATAGAACCCGCGCCTGTTCTAAAACCTGAGCCTGTACAAATACAGAGAAAGAAGGAAAAGATTAGTCGCGCGGAACGTGTACAACTGAGGTTGGAGTACGACCAAAGTTTACAGCGGACCCGGGCCGATCCTGTACTTGCTCAAGGTCCTGTCGATGTGCCTGAGGTTTCGTTGAGCCAGACTCCGAGTTCACGCGAGCGACGGAAGCGAAAGTCTGACGCGGAAGGCGAGAGGGAACCGCGAGTCGGAGGAACCCCTGAGGAGCATGAATCCCAACTCGCGACAAGGCGTGCGAAACGCTTGCATAGCTCCCAGGGAACTCCTGATCAATCGCACCTCCCATCGCAGTCCGTCGAAGGCCTAGCCAACGTCACGCCCATTTCGCGTTTGAACTCGCAGAGAAAGTCCGAGGCCTTACGGAAAAGAGAACAGCGTTCGCAAGTTGCTCTGAATTTGCAGACCCGGTTTTCGGCGGCCAACGAGGCGTCAAGGCAAGGGTGCAAGCAGAAGCAAGAAGCGGCCCGGGTGAGGATGCAACGTGCAAATGAAAGCCCAGCTGAGCAAGCCGCACGGCAAGCCAAAGACCTCTACTCTAAAGGTTGCAGGAGTCTCGGTTGAGCACAAGTGAACGTGAGACTCATAATCTCGCTCGGGCTGCGCGTGTAGCGGCAAGACGCTCCAGAGAATCGCCTTCCCGGCGTTCGGAGCGTCTGAGCCGAAATGCGATATCCACGGGAAGTTCACGACACCGAGAATCCTCATCCCAAAGAGCATTGCGTCTGGCGGCAAATGCTACTCGGACCGCGGCACACCGGCAGCAACGGCGCCATACGGCCGCTGCGCGTGCAGGTGCTGCCCGGAATCCGGATGCGTTTCCCCATCCACTATCTTGGCAAGCCGGACATACCTTGCAGTTGCTGTGGCGCATTGCATTACGCAGTCGAAACGAAATCCCCGAGCGGCAGTTTCCATTCGTGTTGTGGCCATGGCAAAATTGCTATTTCGTTGTTCGACAATTTCCCCCAGGAATTGGAAGATCTTTACAAAGGGGATACTCGAGAATCGAAAGATTTTCGGGCGAACATTCGAAATTACAATAGCGGTCTAGCTATGGCTTCAATGACGGCCCAAATGGATGCTCCGCCCGGAAGAGGTCCACGGCCTTATCGGATCCATGGAGCAGTGTACCATTTGGTCGGCCCTATGAGACCACAGCCTGGAGAGCAAGCCCAATATGCCCAGATCTATATTATGGACACCGAGCAAGCGGCCAACGAGCTAGCCGGTCGTGCCATCAATCGGCACTGCGATCAGGGCCTTTTTGCCAACCTCCATCTCCTCCTGCAAAACGTCAATATCTATGTTCAATCATTGATGATGATGGCAGAGGTGTCAAAAGAGGAATCTGATCAAGCAGCAGCCGATGGGCGGGAAGCTCTCTCAGCGCAGTTGGTCTTTCGAACAGATAAAAAGGGACGACCAAAGACGGTTCAATGCGCCTACATCCAATGAGATTGCCGTTGTTTACGTTGGTGACGATGAGTCGATACCCGGCGAGCGCGTGTTCTATATCCACGAGCGAGACGGCGGCCTCAGGCAGATCCACTACTTGCAGAAAGAGTGCGAACCTCTCTGTTATCCTCTCTTCTTCCCTCGCGGTGGAGAGGGGTGGCACCCTAACATTCCGAAGCAAGTGGGAAATGCTGGCCGTCGTGGTAACTCTGATGATGACGAACCGGCTGTTGCCGATGATGGTCCGCCGAACCGGGTATCTCAACGAGAATATTTCGCCTATAATATGTTCGTCCGGCAAGGCTTCAATCCCATCCACCACGGCGGCAAACTTTGCCAACAATATTACGTGGATGCCTTCGCCAAAACTGAACAAAATAGGCTTAATTATTATCTGACTCACCAGCGTGAACTTCGGCTGGATACGGTCCGTGGCCTCACCGATCACATGAATTCCCATGGTCAAGGTCCTGCAGGCAGAAAGATTATTTTGGGCGCCGGTCATCAAGGCAGTGGTCGAAATTCGGTTGCGCAATATCAGGATTCAGTGGCCATTATGACCAAGTACGGAAAGCCAGATCTCTTTTTGACCATCACTTGCAATCCGAACTGGCGAGAAATTCAGGAAGGTCTTTACCCAGGCCAGACTGCAATTGATCGTCCAGATTTGGTTGCAAGAGTGTTCGAATTGAAAATGAGAGCACTCGATGAGGAACTTTTCAAAAGCACATCCTCGGAGAAATGGCTGCCTATGTTTCGGTGATTGAATTCCAGAAACGAGGGCTTCCGCACCGTCATATGGTCCTATTTTTGAAGGAGGATTCAAAGCTCAGAACATCTGACGAGGTTGATAGTATCATCTCAGCTGAGCTCCCTGATTCCGACACAAATCCTGAATTGTTTCAATTGGTTTCGACCAATATGATCCATCGACCTTGCGGTGCCCATAATCCTTCGTCGCCCTGCATGCAAGACAATACATGTTCTAAAGGATTCCCGAAAGAATTCAGAGATACCACTCTGATTTCAGACGGTTATCCCAAGTACAGACGCCGAGACCAGGGAAGGACTGTTCGGTATACGGTGAACCGGGTGGATGTCGTACTTGACAACCGTCACGTCGTGCCGTACAACCCTTACCTCCTGCTTCGGTTTGGTGCCCACATCAATCTCGAATGCTGCTTCTCCTTCGACTCGGTCAAATACCTCTTCAAATACGTCTATAAGGGTACTGACAGAGCTCGCTTCCAACTTCGTGATGCAAACAATGATGACCTTGGACCGGTCAATGAGATCGAACGGTACATACAGGGTCGTTATTTGTGCGCTCCCGAGGCTTGCCATCGTCTTTTTGCATATCCGATGCAAAAGAAGAGCGACAAAGTCATCCGACTCCAAGTACATCTTGACGGATTTGAAAATGTGGTGTTTGACCCAGAAGATGCACAGGCGGCACTGAATAGAGCTCGCACTCATAAGACCACGCTGAGCGCATTCTTTGCCATCAACACGCATATGCAGCATTTGGAGGATACCGGAGCAAGGGCGGTTATGGTTAACGGTCAAAAGTGTCTGCAGATCGGGAGAAGGAGGGACGCAGAGAAGGTTCTGGATTCCAGAGAATTTTTCTATGGCCAAATGCCGGAAAAATATCGTATCGTTCAAGGCAAATGGGTGCAACGAAAGAATGCGTCGCGGGTGATTGGCCGGATGTACCATGTCTCTCCACGAGACACGGAACGTTTTGCCATGAGACTGCTTCTGCTCTATACGAAAGGCCCCAGGAGCTTCGAACAACTGCGCACCATCAACGGCACTCAATACAACACCTATTTTGAGGCCGCGAAAGCAGCAGGATACATGAACGATGACTCTGTGAACCTCGCTACGATGCAGGAAGCCGCCGATGTGCGGATGCCTGGAGAACTTCGCAGCTTCTTCTCTTCCCTGATCTGCTTCGCTGACGTGCAGGACCCTGTGGCGTTGTGGGAACGCTTCAAGAACGACCTAATGCAGGACTTCCTTGCTCGCGGACTTTCCATCCAAGTCTCTGAGTCAAAGGCCTACTGGGAAATTGTCGAAGATCTGACAGTTCTCGGGGTCAGAGACAGTCCGTTGTTCCAACTCAATTTGCCAAAGTACGACATTGACATCGTCGTTGTTGATCCCGCCGAGCATGCTCGACTCGGGAACGACAAATACTTGCAATTGAACCCGGAACAACTGAGAGCAACGGATGAAGTCTTGGCCGAGGTCGCAGACCCAACTGGGCAGTGCTTCTTCATTGACGGTCCAGGGGGAAGCGGCAAAACCTTTGTCTACCAAACCATCTACCACATTCTATCCGGTATGGGCAAGAAGATTCTCTCGGTAGCGTGGACAGGTATTGCCGCCAACCTTTTGGAAGAAGGACTAACAGTCAGCACTGCCTTCCGGCTGTTGATCAAGACCAACAACAAGGAATCCAGCATGAAAAGGCAAAGCATTGAAGCACGAGCACTCGCTGAGATCGACCTGATCATCTGGGACGAAGCACCTATGGCACCGAAAGAAGCACTCGAAGCAGCTGATGCTCTTCTTAAAGACATTATGCAAAACGATGTGCCATTCGGTGGAAAGGTCATGGTACTTGGAGGAGATTTCCGACAGGTACTTCCCGTGGTCGATGGCGGTGGTCGTGCTGAAATGGTGTCTGCCTGCTTGAAGTCATCCCGGCTCTGGCCTCTATTTCGCAAGTTTGAGCTCACGACCAACATGAGGGTTCGGGATGCTGGCAACGATTGGAAGGACTATCTTCTCGCTCTGGGTAACGATCTACTCGACAAAGACGAAGAGGGATACCTCGAAGTACCCGAAGATCTCAGATGCGAGCAAGATTTGGCCGAAGCAGTCTTCCGACCAGCCTTCGATGAAGGAGTTGAACTTTCTGAAGTAGCTATCCTTACACCCAAGAACGAACAAGCTCTCGAGCTCAACAATAGAATCTTGGATATGCTACCCGGAGAAGTCAAAACCTTCAGAAGTGCTGACTCGGCCGAGACTACTGATCCAACCGATGCTGCCAACTTCAACGCAGAGCTTCTGAACAAAATGACACCATCTGGAATGCCTCCTCACCAGCTCCATCTAAAGGTGGGTTGCATCGTGATGCTTCTGCGAAACCTCAGCGTCAAGAAGGGTCTCTGCAACGGTACAAGGCTGATTGTCGAGCAAATCGGAGCCAGAATTCTCCTCTGCTCAATTGCCACGGGTAGCAGGAAAGGCAAAAAGGTGTTAATCCCCCGAATCGATTGCCTTTATGACAAAGCCACACTACCATTCGTGCTGAAGCGACGCCAATTTCCGGTTCGGCTGAGCTTCGCAATGACCATCAACAAAAGTCAAGGGCAATCATTCGAAAAGGTCGGCATTGCACTTCTTCACGAGGACATCTTTGCACACGGCCAGCTTTATGTCGCTCTCTCGAGAGCGCGGAGCCGCAAAGGTGTCTCGATAATGGCCAAGGACAACAAGATGAAGAACGTCGTCTACGAAGAAGTGCTCGAATAAAATTCTGAATCTTTTGTCATTGTTGATTTTTTTGTTATTATTATTGTTATTGTTGTTGTTTTCGTTTGTTATTATTGTTGTTGTTTGTTGCTTTTTATATGATATTTCGCCGAATAAATATTTTAAACCCCTAATATGTGTCTCACTTTCTCAGCATTGGTTCTTTGCCATAATTATCTCTAAACTTTTTTTGAATTGTATCTTTGAATCCATTTTTCAGCTTTATGTGACCGGCCTACGGCCGGCACATAAAATTCCGGTAGACTTTTGGAGAGGTCAGAGTCATGTTGACCTAGCAGTGGCCAGTGGAAAACTGCCGCGAAGCGGCTTTTTTCCACTGGTTGAATATATCACGGTATTATATCAAAAAAACCTGCAGAATAGTCGTAGAAACCAGGTTTAAAAAAGCATATTTTCTAACACAACCACTAGCCCTGTTTTGTAAATGAAGGCTACAAAAAAAATGATTCGGAGCGCGTGCAAGCCAATTCACAATCTGCCTAAAACGAAACTTTTGACGAAAAATTCAATGTTTCGCCAACAATACGGGGTCCTTAAAACTCGTGCAAATCATTACGAGTTTATACAAGACGGTCTTATTTCAGCTTTTCATCGCGCGAAGAGTGCGAAGCGCTGTGTCGTGCCGAACAAGCATGGGCGAGTGAAGAAGATGTATGCAAAATGGGACGCGAATCGGGGCCGTGCTCGGATGCTGTCACCCAGTGGTACTACGATAAAGAGGTTGGTTCCCTTCCCGGACTTATTTTCAAACGAAACCGGCGATGTTGCGAACATTTGAAACATGCTAATTTCATTGGAAAATGCTGATTTGCTTCTATTGTCAGCCTCCGGAAACCGATCTCGCTTCGGAAGCGATCCGGCTGGCATTTAGATCCAGAAGAACCGAAAAAAGAAAAATATTTCCGGGGTAATGTCTCAAAAAATGTGTTTCGACTAGCCATGTCGATACATGGAATTCATGGAACCTTAGTTATCTTTCACCCATGAATTCTTAATCAAACCTTTTTTATTTTCCCCCATTTTTCCATCTTTCCATCATCATTTTTCACAACCGTGTAATAACAACGAAAACTAATCGTTTCTTACTGTATTTTTGGATAACATTTTTTCCAATTCGAAAAAGCCCCCCAAAAAAGGCTCTTAATAATAAGGATTTTATAAAATTATAAATGAATCATGAAATTATATTCATGAATAAATACGCATTTATTCAGTAAGGGACACGATTACGACATCTTTATGGCGATAACCGTATGAAAAATCAATTCGGACAAATAATGTTTCGCGTAAAAGTGGTGTTTTGTGCGGTCCCCGTGGTACAATTAGTCAAAAGAAGCAATCAGTTAAAATTGCGCTATTTACATTGATAATTTAAACACACTTGATTTTTCTCTTGAAATTGGCAGTACTGGAGAAAAATTACGTTTGACACCTAAAGGAAACCGAAAGTTTCGTAAAAAATGTTTCATCCTGGTTTGTAACCAATAAGGAGCTGTGACTGGAATTATTCCAACCGTGTCGTGTAAACATATTGATTTTCAGATCTCCGGCTGCCGTCAGTTTACCTATGGTGGATGCCGCGGAAACGGGAATCGCTTCGACACGCGCGAGCAGTGCGAGGGTAAATGTGCGCCAAAGATGCAGGCGCTCACGCTTATTGAGCCAAATGGTACGGTGCATTTTTATATATTTAATTTAATCTTTATTTTTGAAATCATTTATTTAATTTAATATTTAATTTGAAGGGGATGGAAAATATGTAAGCTTTAAAGGTATGGAAAATTTTGAAATTAACAGACAAGATTTACTTTAACGAGAATACTTTAGGCTTACTTTTAAGAACACCGTGAATCTAAGAATTCTCATTAGCAAAATATTCAATTAGTTTCATAAATTTCATAAAAACCAAGAAATTTCTTATTAGAAAAACATTTAATTGGTGAAAATTTTTTAATTTGGTTTTTAATGAAAGCTTTTGCTAAGCTTACATACTTAATTTTATTTTACAAAATGCAAGCTTTTTAAATGATTAATTTTTTACCGCCCACAACTTACAAAACCATAAATTTAATTTCCCGTAAAGACCGTGGGTTTCGGTAATTATTGGGGCCAGCCTGTCCTTGAGATCCGTTAAAACCCAAAGTAAAAAAGGAAAATCTGGCTGAAAAATGATGTTTCATAAAATTCCCTTGTGACGCCGGGCCCAATTTGGATAATACAATACTCAAATCTTTTCAAAAAAGATATTCCGGGTGAATTACGGAATTTTTTGGACAGCGTTGTCCAGTCACCGACTAAAAATTCGACTCGTCACGCATAGGCTCTTTAGAGCGAAACATTTTTCCTTAACAAAATGCTATGGTTTTTCAGATGTTTGCGCACTCACCTGGGAGAGAGGACCATGCCCTGGGGAGGAGCCCCGCTTCTTCTTCGACAAGAATTCCGGCAGATGCCGTCCGTTCGTCTACGGTGGATGTGAGGGCAACCGGAATAAGTAAGAAATTTAATGTATTAGTTGAAGCCCGAAGGAAATCCCATGGGAAATGAGTCCAAGAACACCAAAAAATACGGCGGCTTCAGTTTAAAAAAATATGTTTTTACTATGCACAAAGACGGACATTTTTTCGGCGCAGCAGTAAAGCGCAGTTTATTGTTCCGCTCTAAGTTTAGCGTCGTTTTTTTATATGGCGTCTTTTCATGTGGTGACTTAACGCTGGAAAATACTCGAAACTCGTCGAAAAATTCGTGTAATGGAAGTAAGGTTTTCCTACAAAAAATTTGGTTTCGTACCTTTGCCTACTGCGTATCAGCAAACTTTGCAGAATGATCATCGTCTTTTCTGAGTAGAACGTTTACTCAAAAATGCCTATTAACTAATATTAAAACATCCGAAATTTGGGCCAAAAGACGATATTTTTTGTATTTGTCATTAAAAATTTGGGAAGTTTTTGTGCTTGGTAATAGGAAAAGCGTAGCTTACATTATATAAACTATTATATGACTTTACAGCTTCCACTCGTTGCTGGACTGCGAGCACGCGTGCGGGAAGCCGGAAAATTTGAGGGAGGAACGCCGGATTTCCCTGTCAACACAACGACCAGGGCCATTCCATATTGGCGAGGAGGTCAGCCGAAGAAATTTGGGAACGAGAGAGAAAGAGAGAGAGAGAGAGCGGGAGGGAGTGAGATAGTGAGAGAGAGCGAGAGCGCCAGAGAGAATTAGAGACGGATAGTCGGTGTGAGAGAGAGCGAGAGTGATAGAGAGAGAGTGAGAGAGAGAGTGAGTGCGAGAGTGTGAGAGAGTGGGTGAGAGAGAGAGTGAAAAGAAGGAACGCGAAGCACTTTGTCACTTAATCTCTGTTTTAGAAAAGCAGTGAATTCGAATATTTATCATCGACTGTTTCACACCGTCCGTATTTTTAAAGAGCCAGTTGGCGGTCAGAGATTTCTTAGTTTAAAAAAATAGCCAAAAATAAAAATATAAGAACTTACTTTAAAATTGGAAAGGTTAATGTTTCCCTTTTGCATCATAACCAACATCACAAAACTTCGTTTCGAACAATTAATTCCGCAAATTTCTTTTTGAAACTAGGAAATTAGATGAAACATTCTAAAATTTCTTGAAATGCTGTATTAACTTTTATAATTTTTTCGCTTCCTGTCGATACCAAAACGAACCATTTTTTTAATTTTAGAAATTTGTATTGTCTAGATTCTATTTGGTAATGACATTTGCATTCATGATGTCAGATGAAGTACTAAAGATACTACTAAACGAAATCCAGCCTTACCTGTCTGGGAAATCGGTGAAGCATGCATTTTCATAAATTTATGGATGCTAGTAAATTTGTGTGCAACACGGTTCTGAGCATTAGAGCTCGAAAATCTTGCCATCCCTTTGCCAGCAGTGAAGCACTCTTTTTTTTCTTTGTCGTGGTTTATGGCGATTTGATTACTGAAACATCAGATACCTTGGAATTACGATGTTTCAGCCCTATGTAAAAAACGTCGAACATATTCTCGGGGTACAGTCACTACCCCGAAAAGTTAGGTAGTGACTTTCGGGGTAGTGACTTTCGGGGTAGTGACTTTTCGGGGTAGTGACCGGACGCCCATATTCTCTACTATTAAAACATCCGTCCAGGTGCAAGAAAATTCTGGATCAACCTTTAAAAAAATATTTTAATTGCTTCATAAATTCATAAAAACTCGCAACGAAAACTTCATAAAAATAAAAATGGTGTAGAGAGATGGACGCTGTTTTGTATTTCAGGAATGGTTTAATAATGCTGATTTTTCAGGTGCTACTCGCATGCCATGCCGACGGTGAGGTGCCAATTCTGTGGTTCAAGGACGGACAATTGCTCGTATTCTCAATCAGGATTGTCGTACGTTTTATTCAAGGTTTTATTAAATACCGGAATATTCCAAGAAACAACTATTTTTGTCGAAATTGATGTTCCAAAATATTCCAGTTACTGTTTGGGGCTTTTTCCCGACAGTGACCTTCTTTTTTTATCGCATTTATATGTATTTTTGAAGGATGTGGAGATTAAACGGGTTATGACTATATCAAAAGGCAAGATTAGAAATATGTATTTTTGAAATTCAGGAAAAGAAAATAGATTTTCTGAATTTCCAAAAAAAAATATTTATTTCTAATCTTGCCTTCCGATGTAGTCGTAACCTGTTTCGTCTCGTGATCCTTTAAAAATGTATATAATTGCGGTTCTGGTTCGTTAACGGGGGTGGGGGTATCGGTGGGAAAGCTTATTGTCTTAGATTTTTCAAAATTTCTGTATTGAAAAGGGTCTACGTTAAAAATTCGATCCGGTAGAGCTTTAAAAACATACAAAGAGTTCATTCAAAATCTATTGCTCAATAGCTTTGGCAAAGACATTAATACCCTATTTTAAGTTGAAACATGGTGATGATAGAAATATTCCTACTTTGAAGTCCTAGCCAAATGATGTCAAGGTGTACTGAAATATATCCGGGCTGGATGAAACATTTTTTGAAGACAGTTAAATCAATTTTGCATAGGCTGACGAGTACAAATTCACCCAGAGAGCTTCACAAATAAGCGCTGCAACCTTGCCACCGAATTCCAAGAAGCACTTTTTATTATTGACTAGGCATAAAAAAAATTTGGATGTAGCAGGGTTTCCTGAAACATCTTTGAAAATAGCTCCAGAATTACTTTTCTGCTTCAGCCTAATACCTCTAAAATCGGCTTGAGAACTTCGTAAATAACCTCTGCTAGCTGGCCAGCAGATTATCAAGTGCGCATTTTCCAGCTTACTTTTAACTGTTAAAACATTTTTTGGAAGGTAATGTAACGTAAACTTATAGGATAAACATAGAAATAAGAAAAAAGCTGTTTCATGAAATTCTACATAAAAAACATTTTAAAAATTCTCCTGAAAACGCTATCGCACCAAATTTTTATGAATTTAATTATCCCTGTTGTAAGCTGAAACACGTTTCCCACAAAACGACTGTCGCGATTTTTTACAATAAATTCGATGGAAGCTTATTTGATGAAAATGAATATTTCCATGAGATAAAATGCAACCAATATATGATGCCTATATTAATCTGAAAATGTATTTTAGTCATATAAAAATTACGTGATACACAAAAAAATGAAATGGAATTGAACATATCGGCTTCATTGAGCAAATCGAATTTGGGATTAAACGTACCTAAATAATCACTGCTAGGCCGCCTTTTACATTTTTGATCCTGTTTTAGGAAAGAAAAACATCTAGTGACGGTAATGTACGTCTTTTGATAATTTTAGTATCTTTGTAACGTTGGAACATGATTATTTCTACAAGACAGCTAAATAGAAGACCGGTAAATATCCTTGTTCCGATAAAGAAACGAAAACGGACTAAAGAAACACATCGATTTTTCAGGGTAACACTGACCTGTCCTTAGTGCGTATCGGCGAGGCTGAACTTGCTGACGCTGGTGAATACACGTGTGCTGTTGGGCCGAACGGGTTACTGTCCGATCGGATGATGCTCAAGGTTACCGGTAGGTCTTGGGCGTAAAGTGAAATACACAGGCTCCGTACCTACAGATCAAAAAGGTAAATCGATACTACCTACTACTACCAAGCTGCTTTCTTTTAGCTTAACTAAACTTGAATTATTTTTAACTTCTCATGAATTTTAGAAATTTTAGAATTTAACTATATTTTTTATTAAAAAATCTTAACTTAATTTTAAAAGTATTAGGTTGAAAAGATGTGTTCCATCCTTATTGGTTTTTCCGACCAGTTTCATTGTTTTAATAAGACAGACCAGCGTATCAAAAATTTATTATTTCTCGCTCTCTTTTGAGTTTCTGCCTTCCAAATTCGATATTTAGACCGCGAACCCGTGAAAACGATCTGCTTCGACCAGGGCCGCGGCCACACCTGCGCCCTGACCGTCAGGATGAAGCTGTGCGACAAGAAGAGGTACGGGCAAAAAGATTTTTAAGGTTTTCAAAATAGCGCGGACTACTAGCAACTTGGAAAATTGCTAATCCAGTAAATTTTGTGAAACATTTTTGTAGAAAAAAATTGGAATTGCAAAGCAAAATCGATGTTGTTGTTAAAGGGGCTCCGAAATCTGGTCCCCTGCGTTGTTTCTTGGAAAATAGCCAGAGGCGACCGCAACGCTACCGCGCCGCATGATCTTTTGCCCCTGTTTGAACGTGAAAACGTTTGAATTTAAAAATTGTGACACTAGTTCTGGAATCCCCATCCAATTTTGAGCATTTCAGGCTTTTTAATTATGAAAATTGATCGGAGAATCACCAAAATCGCGAGATTGGGTGACTTACCAGGCATTACCACATGTATGTAATCGCCGGGCACTCAAAATGTCATTTTCACCCTAAGAACATTTCGGTTTTTCTCAAATATTTTACGTTTTTCGCAACGAAAACACTTTTCTGGTACTTCTCGGCAGCCCCTTTCTTTTTTGGCGAGTAAGTTCAATCCACGCTGGCACGAATTTTGACTTCCGAGCCCCTTTAAAATTTCACAATCTCTGTGCTTAGCTTATTTTAATCCTGGGATATATAAATTCGCGAGAGACTTGGCTTGGTGCAGTTTTTCCGACACTGTTTTTTATGCCATCTGAACGAGCAGGTTTGAATTAGTCGGATGGCATAAATTTCAGAGTTCAAAAGATGCAACCACTGTCAAGTAAAGTCAATAAAAAAATTTAGATCCCTGAAAAATTTGAAACATTCTGCGGAAATTTTTGGAAGAATAGATGTTGCAGTGATTGGTTGTCCCTAGCCATAGTTTAATTTATGATTGGTTGTATGTTTTCACGCTTACTAATCAACCACTTGCCAACTTAATTTGTATCATTAACGGATTTAGTACTTTAACACGTTTATAGTTTAAATCGCCTTAACTTGTTTTGCCACTTCAATGGCCATTTGGATTGTTTCGGTGAATTTTTAGTGTTTTTGAATTGCTGGTGAAATTTAAACATAAATGGTTTGAAATTGAAAACTTCTAATTCTTTTTAAGGGATTTTATGCCGACAGATGATGCATGTCATTAAAGGTTTCCTGCTGAGCTCAAAATTCATCGGTTTTGAAAAAACTTTTTTTTTCTAGACGACGGTAAATTGAATTGAATTCGCGGGTTTCTGAGGCTGGAACTCAGGAGTTGGGAGCTTGAAGCTAGGAGCTAGTCAGCGATCGGCTTTTGCAAAATAATAAATACCAGCGTTGCTGTTGCGTAGCGGTCCTTTGCTTGCACTCACAACCTAGAAAAAGGTGGTGAAAAAGACACAAGAGAGCATATTCACCGAGAAAACGGCGCCGTGCTTGCGTCCCGAGAGGAAACACATCATAAAAACAACTAAAAAGAATAAATTTTATATCGATTAGGATAAACAAACCAGGTTACTAATATTTAATCGAATTTGTTAATATCTTATTTAAAAGTAGGTATACGTAAATAAAGTAGGAGTTAAAGAAAAAATCATAGTACTTTGATAATCATCCATTTTTCAATCCTTACCAAATATATATTTCAAAATTTAGAAAGATGCGCTATAATAATTACAACCGTTGCGAACAAAGATCAAATTTTTAAATACGCTTGTTTTAGAAAGTGTAGACAAAACTAGATTAAAATTGTTTAGCTAATTCTATTGCATAAAATTCCTGAAACACACTTTTTTTTTACTCGAAAGTTCCAGATACTTCGTGAACTGCTGCCAGAGCTGCGTGCAGGCCGGCTATCCAATGATTATTGCCTAATTTTTTAAAAATTCATCGCAATTACCTTTGCCATTTTTTCCGATTGCCGATTTGTGATTCTCATGCCCATTCAAAATCTCTTCACTTGCCATTTCACGCCACAAAATCAACGCCATTTCATAATATCGATTTTATGTAAATTTTTCATAAATACCGCTTGTCGATTTTTGCTCTGCTGCGTGCCTTATGCGTGTTTATTTTTTTTTCTTTCAATAAATAATACTGAAGCATTTTGTGAAAAGGATCCACATCGGGCTGAAACATGGCATTTTTTCAGGGAAATTCATGGTCCCTAAAACACCCAATAAAGTAACTATAAAGGCTGTTGTTTTTGTCGTATATCTCGACATTTTTTGCACTTATCGAAATGCAACTTTTAGAATAGGCTTCCGAAGAGACACTTGATATCCGGTACAAAAACGAATGCTAAGTACGAGGCCAGAATAGCGCTCCGACAAACGAAGATTTTTTAGAGAACGTTACGAGTACGTTACGACCAAGGCGAGTCGAATAAAAAAAAAATGGGCTACTATTAATGCTAGGAAACAATTTACAATAGAAACGTTTTAAAAACTTGATTGTATTGGAACATTCCCATGAAACTAATTTAGAAATTTTTTGGATGAATTTATTTAGACTGCCTTTATCGTTATTTTACAGTCTGGAAAACGTCATTTGTCATAGATTGGACTTTCCACGAACGGATTCAATTCTTTTTTGTACCGGATATCAAGTCACTTTTCGGAAGCCTCTTCTAAAAGTTGCATCTCGACACGTGCAAAAACCGTCGAGATATTCGACAAAAACAACTGCCTTTATAGTTATTTTACCGAGTGTCATTGTCCTTGTCAAGTATTTTAATCAGTTTCCTGTGTTAATTTAGTACGCAAGGGTTTAGCGCTATGCTTGAAAATCTGTCTTTCAAATTTTTCTCTGCCTCATTCCGTCGCTCCGGTTTTAATCTCGCCCATTCTGGCACTGTGATTTCCATTTCAAAGCCTAACCCCTAGCGGGTGTCGCAATAAAAAAAACACCCCCTCTCACTCGACGCAGAAGTATCCGATCGGATTGATAGTTATTTGATTGACAGATGCGAAAGCCCTGAAAACGGCCAGTTTGCAACAACTTTCAAAACCATGTTTTTATTTTAATGCGCTATTTTCCAAGCCATTTTGTAGAATTATGTGTTTTTCGGAGGTTGCATATGAGCTAACTTCTCTTCTCCTCAATTTCTCCAAGCAAAATGGCCGGAAGTGGCCGCTAATAGGTGCAGAAACCGTTCCTGAATGTTTTTAAATGCGCTGTAAAATGATGGCTTTACTCACTGAAAGGGCTTGCGAATGGCGTAACTATCATTCTGAGCCGGTCCTTCTGCATCGAGTTAGAGGGGGTGTTTTTTTATTGGGATTCTCTGTGTATCCAGTATACGATTGGTAAAGTAGCTGATGTTTAAAATTCTTGATGGTTTTAAAATTGATGTTTTAAATCTTCGCCTAGAGGCACCTCCGGAAGCGCCACTCGTGAATTTTTGTGCTACCACCAAGTACCGCTCAAAGTAGCTCAGAGATGAATCTTAATATTAAAGGGCTAGTTCAGCGAATAAAGTAAAAGAATTTCCGCGACCAGGAGTCGAACCATCTCCGCGTTTTTGTGTCTGCGCCTCTCTAATTTCCCCGCTATCTAATAGCTGTCGTAATGAGGGACTGTTCAGGCGCGGTATGGCTACGTACATAGTTGCCCAAGGTACCAGCCCAAGCTCTAAATGTTGAACTAGCCCTTTAAATATAGCTTTCATTGATTTTGTAACGATGAACCAACCAACGTGATATTATTTTTCACGTCGTAAATCACGGTTTGTTTTCTATGAAACATAAAATTATTAAGGATATCATTTTCGGGTTTTTTAGCCAATGGATGTTTCAACAACCTGCCTGAGTTCTGCAATATAAAACAGTTAATTCACCGCACATTTCTCATGTAAAACAACCTTTGATTCACATCTCCGGCCTTTCCGCTGGGAATCTATTTTTTTTCTGTTTTGAAAAAGCCCTTGTTTATAAACAGTTATTACCACCGTCAAACGTAAACCCTTGACAGGCCAGGATCGCTAGGTTTCGAACATCCGACTATACAGGGTGTCCCAAAAAAAACCCCCCCCTCGGCATTTGGCCGTCTTCCATCGGCTCGGGACCAAATTTTTACCAATGATGGGGACCCATAAAAAGTATGTGCAGCCGAATTTTCTAAGCAAAATATTGTAAAACAAAAAAGATATATAAAAATTGAGGTTTATTTTGCCGATTTCACTAAGATTTTGACAAATTTCGGCCTCGAAATGTTTAGCAAAAATGAAGAGGGCACTCTTTTCTACCAGTAAAAATTTTTTGATTTACGAAAATTACGTTTAAATTGGGCCTTTTGATCACTTTGTATTATCGAAATTGCCAGAAACAGACCGAGAAATGACCATTTTTTGGAAAATTACTCAAAATCGGCATGCTAATTGTGAAAACATAGCCAAAAACGAGTACCAGCGTTTTCCAAAAATCAGTTTTTTAGCAATAACTTTTTGGTTTTACGATATTTTGCTTAGAAAATTTGGCTGCACATAGTTTTTATGGGTCCCCATCACTGGTAAAAATTTGGCCCCGATCCGATAGAAGACGGCCAAATGGCGAAGGGGGGTTTTTTTTTGGGACACCCTGTATATAAAAAATAGTGTTTGTGTGTTTGTGTGTGGACACTTTGCATAAATGGCTCGAAAAAACCGGGTTACCAAGATATCGGGAACGGGAACGAATTTTAGGACCGGGTCGAAAGGTATTTAGGGGTAGTCGAAGGCGTAGATTACTGCAAGCTTATCAGATTTTTAATAAAATGACGATTTATATCTTATTTTAGCGATTTAAAAACATATGGAAATAACCTCATTTGCATAAGAGGTGTTAGGAAGCTCATTTCGAATTTTGTCACGCTCTCAGTCGGTCGATTTTGTGATTATTAGGGTTGAGAGGCCGGCGCTAATCCGCTAGAATTATGCAAAGTGCCCAGCTTCGAAAGATATCCGTGCAAAGGCCAGGGGTGAAAAGCCGCGTAGCGGCTTTTCAACTCTGGTAATATCGTTAAAATATTTGAAGCAGGTTATATTGTTTTTCTTTTGCTTTCAGACGCCGCGAACCATGGTTTGTTTTCTATGAAACACAAAAATTTTAACACGGTCGAGCTGAAGATTGATAAGTGATGTTTCACCAAGCTATCTTTCTTCTGGCATAAGAAAGCCTTTAATCGTGCAAGTATCTTCTCCCTAACTCATTCAATCCCACGGCTAACGCATAGAACCAACTTCTTTTTTTTTCCTTAACATCCATTTTTTAACAAAAAGTGATGAAGCGTTATAATCTTTATCGCGACTTTTAAACGCAAAAAGTTTATCAGAGTTACGCACAAAGATCCGGTAGACGTCGATTCATAGCCTCAACTGGTTGATTTTCGAGTAAAATATCCTTTATAGGCTTGTTGTTTGATTCAAAGATCTTGTTTTTCCACCTAAAGCGTATTTACTCTTGCTTAAAGATACTAGTAAAATGTTTGATATGAAGTCACATCGAATTATTGCTCTTAGCTGTCGCAAATCAATGTTTTTTCTACGAAACACAAAATTTGAAAACGATCGAGCTGCGGAAGCGTTTGAAAAGCAATGTTTCGACAATATGCCTATCTTATGGCGTAAGTGAGCAATCAATACGACGAATTTTAGGGTTTGTTCACTGAATCAAGAGTGTAAACGAGAGAGAGAGAGAGCGAGCGAAAGTGAGAGAGAGAGCGAGAGAGAGAGGGAGAGCTCTTCGCACAAAAATCCGTTTCAACTGCTTAAATTTTTCCGTAACTAAAGTTTCAACGTTATGTCGAGTTTCATGGGTTCTCAGAGATTGAATTATGTGATTACTTCTTCGAAAAAAAAAAACTCAAACTTCGAAAAACTTTATTATGAATTTGCACACAAATTAAATACAAATTCTCCAAATGAAGTACAGCCAAAAAAAAGCACTCGTCACCGAGAGGACGATGAGGGTCGGAATAAAACAAGGAAAAATCGAAAGGTTACGGTAATTTGAGGACGGTAATATTGTTGAGAGGGTAAAAAGTTCACGTGATTGTTGAATCCTTATCCAGGAACTTGCTGCTAATGAGTAAAACATTTTTTCAATCTTGGCCGTCTGCAAAAATGGATTTTCGCAAAAATTACAACTTAAAATGGCTGGTAGCCTTAAATTTATATGCACCAAGCTACCGTATCTCTTACCGTAGTATGTATATAATGGGGGCGGGCGAAAATGCCTGGCGGTCATTTTAAAGGGACGTTTTGTCCGAGAAGGAAAAGCCTAATTTTTGGGATTACTGTACTCCTGAAAATGACGGTAACGCATATAGTTATCGATTTTAAACAATAATGTTTAATTTGGCTCTGGAAACATTGTAAAAAGAAAGAGAATTTGGTTTATGAATTTTCGCGATGAATCAGGTCGAACAATCAGTCTTTTAAAAATTCACGCTTTTTAACCATTTTTGAAACAAATTTATTTCCACGAAAGGAATTGGCTGTTTAACTTTATGATTCAAAGAAACTAGAAATTATTTTTAAAGCTTTATCAAATTATGCATTTCAAATTATGCGATTTCTTACGACCCGAAATACTACCGTAATCCCGAAAATCGGCATTTCCAAAGCGGAAAAACATTCCATTTTGGGGGAAAAATATCATGACTAGTGGGTGCCGGTACTCGGTGTGTCCACAGGAGCGTCGTGTAGCTGGTCGGGCGCGCGGCGTGTGCGTCGCGTGGTCATACGCGCTCCTCGTCGGCTGGGGCCACTTTTCTGGGGGCCGCGTCGGTACCGTCGACTTTTGGTTGGCAGAGGCTAAACAAAATTAACCATAACAACGAGATTATTTATTTGAAACTTTTTGAAATATAATTTTTCCACCATCAGGGTTGTAACGCCGCTTCGCGAAACAATTACATTTAACAGTGGCCACTATTGATAGACCAAAGATGAAAAACCTAATTTTTAGAAGTTTCGTAAAAATTGGAATTTATCAGCCTCTAAGGCACTAACAGCAAAGCAAATCTAAATTTCTCCTTAATCCTACAGTATGCGACTATCTTCGCCCGAAAAACGCCATGATTTTTGTAGTTTTTAGCTCTTTTGAGTTGGGTCTCTATTTTGTATTTTTGGCATTATCAAACTGATCTTTCAGAAAAAATAGAATTTTTTCAATCTAGGTTCTTCTTAATGTGTAAAATCTAGGTTCTTCTCTTAAACCGTAATTTGTACCGCAAAAACTAGGGTTGTTTCTCGGAACGGTCCGAGTTTCGGAACATTCCGAGATTCAAATGATGCGGTTGTTTCGAGATTCGGAACAGTCGGAACGGTTGCTGTTCCGAATGTTCCGAATCTCGGCCTGTTCCGAGAAACAACCCTAGCAAAAACCCTGTTTCGACAATCAAATGGGTCTGGAGATAGCCCATGTTTTTAATTAGTCTGAATAAAATAAAGACGGCCTTCTCGGTCTTGTTAAATTGATATTGTTAAAATAAATTTTTAAAAATAAGACAGAATAATGATTCTTTTCTTCGCTCACCTGAATCGCTCGTACGGCTCCGGCATCGAGTCGGCCATCGGTCTTCCCTTGGATTCGGGCACGAAGGCCGTGATGCTGAAAAAGCGCGATTGAAACTCTGTGAAATGCTAAGAATTGAAGCCTACACAGCCCCTTTAAAACGGCATTCACATTCAACTAAATATAATTCTTTTCAATTTTCATATGAAAATCCATTATAAATCCAAAATAAAACTTGACTTTAGAATTTAGTCGGAATCGATCGGATTTTCTTCGACTTTTTCATTAAAATAGGAATGCCTAATTCAGGGCCTTTTCAACAAAAACAGTAAAAATGACGTTTCATGATTTCGTGATCACAGGTTCGGGAAGACTCTGGTAATAATCCAGCGGATTTCGTTACCAACCATAAGATAAATAAGCCGAAATATAAGTCATACATCTGTTTCAAGCAGAATAATAATTCCAATCATGACTTTGGTAGGAAACTCAACTAAAACATTTTTTTCGGTGTCACGAACTTTTAAAATGGCTGTTTCATGTTTTTTATGCAAGTATAAAGTGGGGGTGAAGCGATGATGTTTTCGAAATCCCAAAAAATTGTAAACGGAGAGCAGCAGGTCTTTCATGAATTTGTATTTTATTATTAGTTATTTTGTATTGATTTAAGAATTATTAGAATTTACAGGATCATCTCTTATTGATAATTTTCGAAAGCAAAGTGAAGCGCAACGTTTGATTGATTATGTACCTTCAAAAACGGGCCAAAAGAGATATGAATAAAACATTTTTCATTTATTTAACAAAAACGGGCAACGTGTTTCATATTCTCTGTATGTAAAATGTAAAGCTAGGGCTGTGAATCTTAATAATCTTTCCAGCTCTTCTCTCTCTCTCTCTCTCTCTCTCTCTCTCTCTCTCTCTCTCTCTCGCTCTCTCTCTCTCTCTCTCGTTCTCTCTCTCTCTCTCTGTCTATCTCTCACTTACCAGAACGTCTCCCCAATTTGCAGTGACAGCATCACAATGTATGGCAGTAGAGCGAAAATGGCCGACTGAAATTGGAAATAGTTTATGTTTCAACAATAATCATCACTAGGAGCGAATTTTCCCGAACAATTCTGCTTCTATGGACCTTCTAAACTCTTGAAACGCCATAATCTGCCTCGCTTTTCGACTAGATCTCGACAGAATATGAGGGCAGAGGTTTTTCTAATTTTTCACGGACTGTCGAGACCTAGCGGATAGGAGGGGTCGATTCCTAGGCTTCCCAACCCCTTAACGCGGACTTTTACATACCAAATGGAAGAGCTGGGGCCCGAGAATCGAGCCGATCGAACCGCTGATTTGCGTTGTCGCGTAGGCAATATTTCGGACGGCCGTCGGATAAATCTGGAATTTTTTATTAATTATTTTTGGTTTTAATATATTCATTAATATATGATAATTGTTTAATCCATTTTTTAATATATTGATTATGATATCGGGTTTTTGTAAAAAATAAATCGTTGAAAAATCAAAAAAGCATGAACCTACAAGATTTTTAGTTTAATACGGTTTTCCTGTTATATACAGGGTGTCTCAGGATTATCCGGACAAACTTTCAATGCCATTTCTTCCTATTTATTTCTTGTTTTATGCGCACACCTTGTCACTCCTATCAATCTTTGAGGTATTTTTGAGGCACTGGCAAAGAAAATTTCGCGAAGCTATGACATATCGCTTCGTAAAAAATCGAAGAAGTTTGCACGTAATTTCTCCCATCTGGCAAACCCTCAAAACGCATGCTGTTTCCGACGCTATAAAAATCTTCAATATAACCGGCATGACAAAGAAACCATAAAAAGAGATTGGAAATAATAAGTCCATGCTCAGCCCGGCCCAAAAACGCCAGGTTGACTCTAGGAAAAAATCAGCAAGCCAAAAAGACGAAATCAAGTCACGCGCCGCCGTATTTACCTTACAAGTTTTAGCCCGGAGGAACTCTAAAAATCCGATAAGATACTTTTCAAAGGATAAAAACCTAAATAGCTACAGTAACAATGATGTACAAGCAATTTAGACCAAGTTAGCTTTGATTTGTGAGGAGCTTGAGCACGAGCAACCTTCGAAACACCCTTATCAGCGTTGCACAGGAAGTTGGTATTAAATTAGAAAATAATTATTGACATGACCAAACTTTGGCGCAGACAGGTCCGTTTTGCCAGAAAACGTCATAACTTGTCCAGAAAAACGTCGGAACACTTTTTGAACCATTGCCCCAAGTTTCGTGCTATTTAAGAGGCAAAAAATCTTACCGCGTTCTTCGCTTGATTCTGAAGTTATTAATGTGTCTTCAAAATTTTTTTTTTTGCTCAGAACATTGCAAACGCCTCAAAAATTCATATGAAATACATTAGGTTGACAGACAACAGCGGTAAAGGTGAAAAAATGACTATTTCGTTTTGTCCGGATAATCCTGAGACACCCTGTAATATAGACACAACTTCAATCGATAGCTCAAGAAATTTTTTGAAACATTTTCTTTAATTTTGTTGGGTTTGACGAATTTGTTGTTTGTGCTTTAGCACGACTAAACGCCAAACTTTAGAAGGTTTTGCTAAAAAATACCAAATATCGATTTCTTAATTAGGCCAAATTTTCCTCTTCTAACAAATTGAAGTTTTTGAGATAAATTTTCGGTCAGCATCATAGAAAAATTTGGCATTGCAGCCAACCGAGCCCTAGCTTTCATTGGCATTCTTTTAGAATATTTTTTAGAAAAAATACTGCTAAATATGGTTTTTTTTAAAGTAAGGTGCACCCCAAAAAAAGATACCTCCGAGCATGTGACCCCGTTGACGACGTAGATTTGGGCTACCATCGACCCGGCCGACATCACCAGGTATCGCGTCAGACTGTTTAATGACGTCCATTCTAAAAAAAACAACGAAATTTTGATGCATTTAAATCGATTCCGTCGTGAAAATCAATACTCAAATTTGGCGGTAATTATCGAGGTTAGGATCCTACCCTATAAGCGAGAAAAGTATGTGTGTTTTCTGTACGGCCGTTTTCTCGGCCGTCAGGCCGAATTTCGAGCTGATTTTTGGCATGGGGGTGGGAAATGCCATTTATAAAAAACGGTTTTTTGGATTTTTCGAAATTCTGCGATTTAACGATTTTACAAGCAAAAATGTGAAAAATCCTTAACATTTTTGGGTGTGCACGTTGTCCGGAACTTTTCTCGGCCCCTAGAGGGAATGGGGCCCTCGATTTTTGAGGGTAAGTGGCAAAAGTAATTCCCCAGATACATTTTTTCGGATTTTGCAAAATTCTTTAAAATAAAGTTTTTATGAGCATTTTTTTGAAAATTCCTTAACAAAATGGGCCAAGGGTCGTGGTGTCCGGGACATAACTCGAAGCCCTGATGGAATTCCGGGTTGAAATTTGGACCATTTATGCAATTAAGGATGGGGATCATGCGCAAGTAGTTAGTTTTTGAAAATATTGTAATTTCGTTGCATACGATGCAAATTTGTTAAATTGGTTTTTGCCTGCTCCTCGGGCTCAAACTTGAGTCATTGGCAGACTGAAAAGATAGAGCTGAATGTGCTAAATCTTTCCCTTTTTAAATTTTTAAATTTGGTTGAATTTCTGGGGCGATAGAGCCGTTTTTGTTTCGGAGAGGGGCCGCCCTTTTTGGGGCGCCTGGGGAGTACCCCTCTGTGTCCCCAGCCCGTCCCGACTCGCCCCCCACCTAACCCACTCCCAGGTGATAACCCCCAAGGTTTTCGAGCGCTGCCGGGTGGCTGGCCGAAAGGTTAACACTGAACAGCCACCTTCCTAGAGCGCCCCAGCAATGGGTGACGAATTTTTGGCCGCTACGCTCAAGGGGGAGTCGTCCTCCGATGGCCATACAAATTTAAACGCTCGCTCCCTTGGGACGCCGAGGGGTTCAGCTTGCCTGTTGCTGGACAAGCCAGACCCGGAAGGGATGGTTCGGCCTGACGGTCGTAATGTCGGTCCTGTTGGCACCAGTACCGATCTGCCGGACCCGGTAAGGGTGTCGGAAACAGCTGAGCCTCAGCAGGGTACGAAGAACAGAGGGCCTGCCGATTGGACCCGAAGAGGTAGCAATACCGAGGTTCAATTGGCTGGGCGAGTAGCGGCACCCTCCAGCTGTTTTCCGGGACAACACCCCGCGGCCTATCCTCAAACACCGCGGCATCCTATGCAGATCGTGAAAATGCCTTCCGTGCCGAATACCAGCAGTAACTCGACCGGTACACTCCATACGGGAAAGAAGCTGTCTGACTCGGGATTTTTCGTTCCGAACCCGTGGCAAACGCTGGGCCCTGATTCTTCGAAGCTGTGGGTGCCTCGACAGCAGATAGAACCCGCGCCTGTTCTAAAACCTGAGCCTGTACAAATACAGAGAAAGAAGGAAAAGATTAGTCGCGCGGAACGTGTACAACTGAGGTTGGAGTACGACCAAAGTTTACAGCGGACCCGGGCCGATCCTGTACTTGCTCAAGGTCCTGTCGATGTGCCTGAGGTTTCGTTGAGCCAGACTCCGAGTTCACGCGAGCGACGGAAGCGAAAGTCTGACGCGGAAGGCGAGAGGGAACCGCGAGTCGGAGGAACCCCTGAGGAGCATGAATCCCAACTCGCGACAAGGCGTGCGAAACGCTTGCATAGCTCCCAGGGAACTCCTGATCAATCGCACCTCCCATCGCAGTCCGTCGAAGGCCTAGCCAACGTCACGCCCATTTCGCGTTTGAACTCGCAGAGAAAGTCCGAGGCCTTACGGAAAAGAGAACAGCGTTCGCAAGTTGCTCTGAATTTGCAGACCCGGTTTTCGGCGGCCAACGAGGCGTCAAGGCAAGGGTGCAAGCAGAAGCAAGAAGCGGCCCGGGTGAGGATGCAACGTGCAAATGAAAGCCCAGCTGAGCAAGCCGCACGGCAAGCCAAAGACCTCTACTCTAAAAGGTTGCAGGAGTCTCGGTTGAGCACAAGTGAACGTGAGACTCATAATCTCGCTCGGGCTGCGCGTGTAGCGGCAAGACGCTCCAGAGAATCGCCTTCCCGGCGTTCGGAGCGTCTGAGCCGAAATGCGATATCCACGGGAAGTTCACGACACCGAGAATCCTCATCCCAAAGAGCATTGCGTCTGGCGGCAAATGCTACTCGGACCGCGGCACACCGGCAGCAACGGCGCCATACGGCCGCTGCGCGTGCAGGTGCTGCCCGGAATCCGGATGCGTTTCCCCCCATCCACTATCTTGGCAAGCCGGACATACCTTGCAGTTGCTGTGGCGCATTGCATTACGCAGTCGAAACGAAATCCCCGAGCGGCAGTTTCCATTCGTGTTGTGGCCATGGCAAAATTGCTATTTCGTTGTTCGACAATTTCCCCCAGGAATTGGAAGATCTTTACAAAGGGGATACTCGAGAATCGAAAGATTTTCGGGCGAACATTCGAAATTACAATAGCGGTCTAGCTATGGCTTCAATGACGGCCCAAATGGATGCTCCGCCCGGAAGAGGTCCACGGCCTTATCGGATCCATGGAGCAGTGTACCATTTGGTCGGCCCTATGAGACCACAGCCTGGAGAGCAAGCCCAATATGCCCAGATCTATATTATGGACACCGAGCAAGCGGCCAACGAGCTAGCCGGTCGTGCCATCAATCGGCACTGCGATCAGGGCCTTTTGCCAACCTCCATCTCCTCCTGCAAAACGTCAATATCTATGTTCAATCATTGATGATGATGGCAGAGGTGTCAAAAGAGGAATCTGATCAAGCAGCAGCCGATGGGCGGGAAGCTCTCTCAGCGCAGTTGGTCTTTCGAACAGATAAAAGGGACGACCAAAGACGGTTCAATGCGCCTACATCCAATGAGATTGCCGTTGTTTACGTTGGTGACGATGAGTCGATACCCGGCGAGCGCGTGTTCTATATCCACGAGCGAGACGGCGGCCTCAGGCAGATCCACTACTTGCAGAAAGAGTGCGAACCTCTCTGTTATCCTCTCTTCTTCCCTCGCGGTGGAGAGGGGTGGCACCCTAACATTCCGAAGCAAGTGGGAAATGCTGGCCGTCGTGGTAACTCTGATGATGACGAACCGGCTGTTGCCGATGATGGTCCGCCGAACCGGGTATCTCAACGAGAATATTTCGCCTATAATATGTTCGTCCGGCAAGGCTTCAATCCCATCCACCACGGCGGCAAACTTTGCCAACAATATTACGTGGATGCCTTCGCCAAAACTGAACAAAATAGGCTTAATTATTATCTGACTCACCAGCGTGAACTTCGGCTGGATACGGTCCGTGGCCTCACCGATCACATGAATTCCCATGGTCAAGGTCCTGCAGGCAGAAAGATTATTTTGGGCGCCGGTCATCAAGGCAGTGGTCGAAATTCGGTTGCGCAATATCAGGATTCAGTGGCCATTATGACCAAGTACGGAAAGCCAGATCTCTTTTTTGACCATCACTTGCAATCCGAACTGGCGAGAAATTCAGGAAGGTCTTTACCCAGGCCAGACTGCAATTGATCGTCCAGATTTGGTTGCAAGAGTGTTCGAATTGAAAATGAGAGCACTCGATGAGGAACTTTTCAAAAAGCACATCCTCGGAGAAATGGCTGCCTATGTTTCGGTGATTGAATTCCAGAAACGAGGGCTTCCGCACCGTCATATGGTCCTATTTTTGAAGGAGGATTCAAAGCTCAGAACATCTGACGAGGTTGATAGTATCATCTCAGCTGAGCTCCCTGATTCCGACACAAATCCTGAATTGTTTCAATTGGTTTCGACCAATATGATCCATCGACCTTGCGGTGCCCATAATCCTTCGTCGCCCTGCATGCAAGACAATACATGTTCTAAAGGATTCCCGAAAGAATTCAGAGATACCACTCTGATTTCAGACGGTTATCCCAAGTACAGACGCCGAGACCAGGGAAGGACTGTTCGGTATACGGTGAACCGGGTGGATGTCGTACTTGACAACCGTCACGTCGTGCCGTACAACCCTTACCTCCTGCTTCGGTTTGGTGCCCACATCAATCTCGAATGCTGCTTCTCCTTCGACTCGGTCAAATACCTCTTCAAATACGTCTATAAGGGTACTGACAGAGCTCGCTTCCAACTTCGTGATGCAAACAATGATGACCTTGGACCGGTCAATGAGATCGAACGGTACATACAGGGTCGTTATTTGTGCGCTCCCGAGGCTTGCCATCGTCTTTTTGCATATCCGATGCAAAAGAAGAGCGACAAAGTCATCCGACTCCAAGTACATCTTGACGGATTTGAAAATGTGGTGTTTGACCCAGAAGATGCACAGGCGGCACTGAATAGAGCTCGCACTCATAAGACCACGCTGAGCGCATTCTTTGCCATCAACACGCATATGCAGCATTTGGAGGATACCGGAGCAAGGGCGGTTATGGTTAACGGTCAAAAGTGTCTGCAGATCGGGAGAAGGAGGGACGCAGAGAAGGTTCTGGATTCCAGAGAATTTTTCTATGGCCAAATGCCGGAAAAATATCGTATCGTTCAAGGCAAATGGGTGCAACGAAAGAATGCGTCGCGGGTGATTGGCCGGATGTACCATGTCTCCCACGAGACACGGAACGTTTTGCCATGAGACTGCTTCTGCTCTATACGAAAGGCCCCAGGAGCTTCGAACAACTGCGCACCATCAACGGCACTCAATACAACACCTATTTTGAGGCCGCGAAAGCAGCAGGATACATGAACGATGACTCTGTGAACCTCGCTACGATGCAGGAAGCCGCCGATGTGCGGATGCCTGGAGAACTTCGCAGCTTCTTCTCTTCCCTGATCTGCTTCGCTGACGTGCAGGACCCTGTGGCGTTGTGGGAACGCTTCAAGAACGACCTAATGCAGGACTTCCTTGCTC